ATTATTTATTTTTTGTTGAGACATGGTCTTGCTCTCCTGCCAGGCTGGAGTGCAGTGGCATGATCATAGCTCACTGCAGCCTTGAACTCCTGGGCTCAAGCGATCCTCCTCCCTTAGCCTCTGGAGTAGCTGGGACTGCATGCATACTCCACCACACCTGGCTAATTAAAAAAAAAAATTTTTTTTTAAAGAGATGGGATCTTGCTATGTTGGCCAGATTGGTCTCAAACTCCTGGGCTAAAATGGTCCTCCTGCCTCAGCCTCCCAAAGTGCTGCGACTACAGGTGGGAGCCACCATGCCTAGCTCAATAAACATTTTTTAGCAAGCACACAAAATAGTTTATGTATCCTGTTCTATATGTTCAATGAAGCCCTACTTGCTGATTTGGTAGATTCACCCACGACTGCATTAAAGGTCCACTTAAGGCAGGTTTGACAATTTTCAGAAATAGTACTGTTCTAACCTAGTCAGCAACAGCACCAGAAATTCTTGGACAAAATGGCAGGAAGCAAGACCATTTTGGGATCAAGCGTCAGGTACTATGCCTAAGGGAACGGGCCATGGGCTTTACTAGGTTGTTTCTTCCTTTTCATTTAAGTATGAGGAATTACTCTGAAATAATTTAATAAGTTCATATATCCTGAATACCTCTAGTTTTGCCAGTGAGAGCCACTTGGTATCCATTGTAATGATCAGCAAGCTACGAATTTTCAAAAATATACTTCACACATTGACTCTGCTGATTATCAAAATCTCTGGACGTAACTGAGATACAGATAGAAAAAGCACTTGAAACTGCTGCCTTTGGTCCTTCTGATTAGAACACTAGCTGTCCACTCCTGAGAAGGAAATCCTTGTTAGAGCTAAGGATTGCTCCTGGGGTGCTTGTAACCTGACACTAGTAAGAAAGCAGCACCACCTGTTCCAAAGAGAATGAAAGAAATTACAAACATAATTGGGAAAAGAAAAAATACTACACACCCTAATTTCTCAGGACCCGATAGATTTTATTTCAGGTGGGGATAATGGTCAAGCAGTGTGAAGACCGGGAAGGAGAGAAGGAAGTCTCTCTGTTCTGAAAAATTCCCTGCCCCAAACTGTTCAAAGTGCCACATTCTGCCCTTTTAGCAATTTTAACTAATTTTTGACAACACCACAGAAACCCTGTGGCTTCCTATTAAAATGAGTAGGTTACAAGCCTTTTTTTGAGACGGAGTTTTGCTTTTGTTACCCAGGCTGGAGTGCAGTGGTGCCATCTTGGCTCACCACAACCTCCGCCTTCTGGGTTCAAGTGATTCTTCTGCCTCAGCCTCTTGAGCAACTGGGATTACAGGCAGGTGCCACCATGCCCGGCTAATTTTGTATTTTTGGTAGAGACGCAGTTTCTCTGTGTTGGTCAGGCTGGTCTCAAACTCCCGACTTCAGGTGATCCGTCTGCCTCGGCCTCCCAAAGTGCTGAGATTACAGGTGTGAGCCACTGTGCCCGGCCATAGGCCTTATTTTTATTAGAAAAGTGGAATTTAACAAATATTTTATTTTTATTATTTTGAAGCATTTTATCAATTCTAGGTGGAAGCACATCATCAAATGGAAAATAAACAAAAAATGAAAAATAAAAGGTTACTTATCCATTTATAGTAAGCACAATTTTGCTAGAAAGAGACAGAAACTTCAAAAAGACAAAACTAAAAGTCTTAAATGTAAGATTGCATTCTATGTTACACGTGAATTTAGTGGTACCAAAGTGTCATCTGCTCTGCCTGAGGGAGCACTCCCCCTAGTGGTTTTCCATAGAAAATAAATTCAAACTTATTAAAGTAAAAATTCCTGGGTCAACTAGAACACACATAAGGAGGAAATTCTTTATAAAATAAATACCTTGATGTTAGGATGATTTAGAACCAATTCATTAGTTTCCGAATTCTAAATAGCTGAAGACATGCAGCTAAAATAATAGTTTTATTTTATTTTTTGAGACAAAGTCTTGCTCTATTGCCCAGGCTGGAGTGCAGTGGTATGATCTTGGCTTACTGCAACCTCTGCCTCCCAGGTTCAAGTGATTCTCCTGCCTCAGCCTCCTGAGTAGATGGGATTACAGGTGTATGACACCACACCTGGATTTTTTTTTTTTTTATTGTATTTTTAGTAGAGACAGGGCTTCACTGTGCTAGCCAGGATGGTCTGGATCTCCTGACCTCGTGATCTGCCTGCCTTAGCCTCCCAAAGTGCTGAGATTACAGGCGTGAGCCACTGCACCTGGCCTGTCTCTACTTTTAAAGTAAATAAACCAAAATAAAATTTAAGAAAAATACACAAAACCAAAAGCATCTTTTGTGTCTATTTAAAACACCATGCAAATCTTTTTTTTTTTTTTTGACACAGAGTCTTGCTCTGTCACCCAGGCTGGAGCTCATGATCCTCCCACCTCTCAGTCTCCTGAGTAGCTGGAACTACAGGCATATGCCACCACACCCAGCTAACTTTGTATTTTTTTTGTACAGATGGGTTTTGCCATGTTGCCCAGGCTGGTTTCTGAGCTCCTGGGCTGAGATCCACCCGCTTCGGTCTCCCAAAGTGCTGGGATTACAGACTCCCACCATCATACCCAGCGAATTTTTGTATTTTTAGTAGAGGCAGGGTTTCACCATGTTGGCCAGGCTGATCTCAAACTCCTGACTGCAGATGATCCACCTATCTCGGCCTCCCAAAGTGCTGGGATTACAGGTGTGAGCCACCACATCCAGCCTAAAATAAGTTTTAAATGTGCAAAAATATCCATCCTTATTAAGTTGATTTATACTTGTTTTAAATTCTTTTTAGATTCAGCTTTTAAAAAATACATTAGTCTGGGTGGATTTCTTGAGCTCAGGAGTTCAAGAATAGCCTAGGCAACATAATGAAACACCGTCTCTACAAAAAACACAAAAATTAGCAGGGCATGGTGGTGTGCACCTGTAGTCTCAGCTATTTGGGAAGCTGAGATAAGAGGATTGCTTGAGCCCAGGAGATTGAGGCTGCAGTGAACTGTGATCCTACAACTGGACTCCAGCCTGGGCAACAGAGCAAGACCTTCTCTCCAAAAATAAAGTTAAAAATAAACCTTAAATCAAAATAAATAGAGCTAAATCAGAATTAAATAGTGACTAATAAGATGCTAAACGAAAATCTGAAATTGGAGATTCTTTCATCTAACAAAGTTACTAAATGCCAATTATATTAGACACTGTTCTTTGTTCACACTAATGAACAAAAGACAAAAAAAACTATGCTATTTCATTCACATTTAATGGTCCTTAGAATGTTGACTGATTAAATATTTTCATGTATGTTTTAGGTTTGTTTTGTTCTTGGTGTTCATCTAAACAAAAAATATTTTGACATTTAGTAAATTCATCTGTTTCCTACTTGAACACATACACTTTATGAAATTCCAACTTCTTTTGTAGTTGCTAGGCATGCTGAGATTGAGAGACTAGCTAGTTATCAGGTTCTGACCCTGGCTACCTCCCAGAACTGTCCATGTGCCTGGGATCAGTGCCTGCCATTGCACTGGAGCGGCCTCCTTGCAGCACACTCTGCGCAATACTCTCCAAACCAATTTTCTCTAACGCTATGTGACCTATTTTAAGGTAGGCATTCCAGTATATCCTCAAATTTTGGTGAATATCATTGAATGGTTCTCAACAATGAATAGTTGGCACACTTTTATTTGGGGGAAGGCGGTGGTCACAACCATCAATGGGTAAGGGTCAGAAAGGCTAAGTGAATCGTGCAATGGGATGACAGTTTTTTATCCTAAAGAACTGTCCCACCCAAAAGGCTAATAGTGCCTGTCTGTGGAGAGACACTGAGCTGTTTGTTGTTACAAAGACAGAAGCTTCACTTTACTCATGTAATTTTTTCTACTAGAAAATAAGTCAGATTATCACCGGGCGCGGTGGCTCACGCCTGTAATCCCAGCACTTTGGGAGGCCGAGGCGGGTGGATCACGAGGTCAAGAGATCGAGACTATCCTGGTCAACATAGTGAAACCCCGTCTCTACTAAAAATATAAAAAATTAGCTGGGTATGGTGGCGCGTGCCTGTAATCCCAGCTACTCAGGAGGCTGAGGCAGGAGAATTGCCTGAACCCAGGAGGCGGAGGTTGCGGTGAGCCAAGATCGCGCCATTGTACTCCAGCCTGGGTAACAAGAGCGAAACTCTGTCTCAAAAAAAAAAAAGAAAATAAGTCAGATAATTTTAGTGTTGTATTTTATTAAATATAAAAATATTTATATGCCCACAAAAATTATTTTAGTGACAACTACCAGGAAAGTACAAAATCCCCTATAACTGTTTTTTTACACCTCAATTTGTCAAGAAACTCAGAGGCAAATGCAAAGCATCTAATAAGTACTTACTGCAGTTACTTACTGCAGTGAACAGTTTTGAGAAGAAGAAGAAAACCTGTAACTCTGAAAATTGTTTTATATCCCATTCACAGATCTCTTCAAAAGTATACTATAAAAATGAATCACAAAGAATTTTTCAGACTTCTTTGGTGATGCTTCAACTTCAGAACATTTGCAAGGAAATGACATGTAAAAACAATCACCTCAATACAATTAAACTTCTTTTTTTTTTTAAAGTTTCCTTTAAAACAGTGGTTCCCAAAATTTAGCATTTATCAGAATCTCCTGAGGGAAGCCAGTTAAAATACAGAATGCTGGCTTCCTCCCCAGAGTTTGCTACAAGTTTGCAGGCAGTTCTGATGTTGGAGCGGGCACAACACTTTTGAGAACCACTGCTTTAAGATCTAGTCTCTAGAAGTCAAACTAAGAGGCAACGCCCATATGTCTTTCCTTATTCTAACGGTAAATAAATAAAAAGAATATTTTAAGTAGCTGCATCAAACTTTCAGTCTTTAGATTCCTGGAAAGTTCTAATGAAATAAAACGTTATTTCTCATGGCTCACAATTATTCTCATGAGTCCAGAAAGAACTACAGGACAGTCCTGAATAATCTACGACTATATAAAAACATTTATTTACACGCCCTCTACAAACTGTATTTACAAAACACATAGTAACGATTGGGGTACACAACCTTGCTCCTTTCTTCCCCATGCTTATTCTCTACAGAAAATCCAATATGAAATTATAGAGTATTGTACTCAGAATAAGAACTTCATTTATGTACACATAAATATCATGAATTGTCATATTGAAGATTCAGATTCAGGAACTTCTTCATCAGGGCAGCAGTAATATTCTACAAAACATATTTGTCCGTCTTCATTTCTAATCATATACTGCAATGAAAGGAAGCCTCTGTTATCTGTCCGAATAGATACTTTACAAGATAGGACTAATGCCTTTGTAGAGGGTTTCAGTAAGGAAATCTTGTATCTGTAGAAGAATAAATAAAAAGCTGTTATATCAACACAGTTAACATTGCTCAGAGTTCCAAGTAAAGGACAAAAAGCAGCAAATCTAAGAATAAAATCAAGTACTTATGCAATTTGCTAATATTTTCTTTTTTTAAAATTCATCCACTGTTAGCATCCTACATCCCCTAGTAAGTCCAGCACTCTACTGTTCATGTTTATAAAATGCTGTGTATTTTTATTAACAGACAAAGTGGGGGTTTTTTTTTTTTGAAATGGAGTCTCACTCTGTTGCCCATACGATCTCAGCTCATTGCAACCCCTACCTCCTGGGTTCAAGCAAGTCTCCTGTCTCAGCCTCCCGAGTAGGTGGGACTACAGGTGTATGCCACCATGCCCAGCTAATTTCTGTATTTTTAGTAGAGACAGGGTTTCACCATATTATTGGTCAGGTTGGTCTTGAACTCCTGACCTCAGGTGATCCGTCCCCCCTTGGCCTCCCAAAGTGCTAGGATTACAGGTGTGAGCCACTGTGCCCAGCTGAAAGTGTTTTTATTTAACAGAAATCTGGTATTTAGCCTTATCTTTATCACCAATGGCAACCTCTATATTAAGGACTGACCTGTTGACTTGGGTCTGATTACAATGAAATGCTTCCATCAAATCAGAATCTTTGGGATAGTCAAGGTGGGAACTTCCTGCATTTCCAAAAGTAGATAACCTATAGAAAATGATTACTTCATTTATTCATTGGTCCAGAAATAAACCACATTAAGATCCAAATAAACTAAACACTTCCTTAAGAAATCCATACTAGTGGATGTACACAAATAGTTACAATACAGGATAACAAGTACCATAATAAAGCTCCCACAGGATGCTGTGGGAGTTCAGGGCAACTAGCAACTAATCAACAGCTTTGAAGAAAATTAATTGTAAAAGGAAAAGGGCAGGGCACAGCTTTAATTTCATTACCCTAATCCTATTCTGGAAGTAGATTTTCCTCATCCTTAAGTCAGAAATATATAACAGGAGAGAGAATAGAGGACTGATGGAAGACCTTGATCTAAGTTAACTGCAAACCTCAGGTTCTGTTCCCAATCCTATACCAAGCAATTACAGCTTTTCTGTATCTTAGATTGCTCCTAAGGTTATTTCATGGTTTTCCTCACTAGGTAATAGCAGACGTTATGTGTAAACAACTTATAAATGTTAATGTGCTGATTTCATCTGCTAGACTGGAGTATTTCCTGCAGTTGCTAAGTGTTGCATGAGCATAATGATATGACCCAGGTGTTGGTTTTCCCTAAGCTCCATTTCTACCGTCCATCTTCCAGGTGCTGTTTTTCCCCGGGTTCATCTTTTCTTTCTAATATAATCGCTCTCTCTGACCCGCCTCATCTATGCCCAGCCATTATGATGGTTCCCAAATCTAAATTCCCAGTCTAGATGGATCTCCTGAGCACCATAACCACATATCCAGCTATTCCCTAGTGTCACAGGTACTTAAAATTTAACATATCCAGAAAAAACATTTCAACTCCAACCTCCCTACCACCAAATTGTTTCCTAACTTGGAGATGAAAGATACCATGATCCACCTAGTTACCCAGGCTGAGAGATCACTGAGAAGGAGATCCTCTGAAATATTGTTTAAGTACCTGAATTTTTCACTTCATTCCACAGCTAAAGTAGGGTTTCCAATTTCCATTTTGGTTAATACTTTGTCAGACCGTGATCCAAATTTTTAACTGCCCAAAGTCATGAGAAGGACCTGTAATTCTTTTTCTTTTCTTTTTCTTTTTTTTTTTTGAGAGTCTTGCTCTGTCACTTAGGCTGGAGTGCAGTGGTGCAATTTTGGCTCACTGCAACCTTCGTCTCCTGGGTTCAAGTGATTCTCCCCACTTCAGCCTCCTGAGTAGCTGGAATTACAGGCACCTGCCACCACACTCAGCTAATTAGACAGGGTCTCACCATGTTGGCCAGGCTGGTCTTGAACTCCTGACCTCAAGTGATCCACCCACCTCGGCCTCCCAAAGTGCTGGGATTACAGGTGTGACCCACTGCACCCAGCTGGGTCTGTAATTTTTCTAAAGCAGTTACAAAAAGAATACCTTATACCTTTTATTCCATATGTATTTAGTGCCTTTATTTAATATTCTGAAATTTTTCAAAAGAGAATATTTAGATCCTCTTGCTAGAATTTCTAAACTGAGACTAATCCTGGAAAGAGACTTGTGTGAAAGAATAAGGAGCAGCTTTTTTGACATTGTCTTCCTGCTGAAAACTGCCCTCTCTTTGGAAGTGAGCATCGAGCTATCCTCCCTAAATCTTTATTCAGTGTTTCCCAGGGATCTCTGTGTGCTATCTTCGTACTTAATGGTTTGCTGTTTCACATATCTTGGCTTCACCTTAATTTTAAGTTGTTATTCCTACAATGGTCAATAAGATGAATAAGCACATGGTAGGTGATCAACAGATACCTTAGTGAATGAATGAACCACATGTAGAAAACATGTTCTGCATCCTGAACTAACTTGAAAAAGATACCATATAATACAAATACCCTTTCCAAACACTTAAACCCAATTTTCCTCATGATGTAACCTGATACATGACAGTAAGTAGTATGAAAACATTACTAGTTTAGAAATTAGGGGACCGGGCTTCTCATCTACATGCCAACACCATCTAAATATGAAATAGTGAGTTAATCTTTCTGGGTCTTAAGTTTCTTGATCCATAAAATTATGAGTAAGAGTACAAGCTATTTAAAGTTGTGAAAGCTCTAAAAATGTGGATAATAAAAATTCTGCATCCTAAGCAAATGTCTAGAGGGAAGACAGAGTACAGACCACATGAACTATAACTCCACCGCTCTCAAGTACCTGAAATAAGGCTTGTCAGGAGACATCGTAATCTGTAAGACTTCACTCGTCATATCCAATTCAGAAAATGCTTCACGGAGTCCCTCTGACTGCAGAATAATTTTATTAATAACATTGGTGCTGCAGAAGTCAAAGTCCAGGGTCTCCTCAGGTTCCTGCGTATTGATTTTGCAGACTGTTACCACCCCTCCTTCTTCTAGGAACAGCATCAAAGGGTAACCATCACCTTGGTAACACATCCGAAGAGCAGTTAAAGTCCCTGCAATGGAAAGAAATCATACTTGGCCTTAGCTTTATAGCTCTGGGTTCAGCTTCTCCTCAAAATGATATAAAATTTCTCAAGAATAATTCATTCCACCAAATTTCTCGCATATACGTATCTCCTCATAAAAAGGGATTATATCTTCCCTGATGACAGTTGTATGTAGACAATTCCAAACATACAAGAAAATTGGGAACCAGAACAAAATGTAACGTAACTCTCTGGTATCATTTTCAGGTTGCCATAAATACCTCAGAAATAGCTTGATTTTATATACATAAATTTCAGGATAGAGAATCTACATGGATCAACACAGCAAGTAACCAAATTGCCGCAGAACACAGTATGCTATTTCTTGAAGGTTCAATGTGTGTAACAGTGGACTGCTATGTGTACTGTAATGTCAGTGTATTCACTCTTATAAGGATCCTTCCAACTTTTCCAACTCAGATATTCTTTATATTTTTTCAAATTTCAAAATTAAATTGAGACAAAAAGAGGGTTGTTAATAGTGGTGTAAATTCTAACACTGCAAACCATTAGGGGAAGGAGGAATGTGATAGGATATTCAAATTCCTCCTTACTGCATGGAGAGCCACAGTGAGGAATGGAAGATGACAGATTCTTTCATGAAAAACCAGCTGGAGAACACGGTATTAGAAAATGTATAGTTAGTTAATAACAGTGGAATTGTCAGTAGAAAATTAAAATACATTTTTCTGGAGAACTATATTGGAGAACTATATTGAATTTTTCCTAATCTCCAGGTTGCTTTCCTATGAAATAAAATCATTCTTCTGGGGATTCCTGACAGTTTTAGACCCACAGCAACTAAATTTCACCATTCTTAAAAATAATTCCCTTAAGAAAAAATATGTTTAAAAAAATCATTTGGCAAAATAGACATAACTTATAAAATATGGCTTGAAAGAAACAAATTTTGAACACAGTACAAACTAGGAGTCAGTAGAACCGGCTTCTGTTTTTCCCTGCCACTAACTAGCTGAGTAATTCTGGACAAGTTAGGGAAAAGAAGCAATTACGTTTCACAATGTTAAAGATATTTAAGACATGCCCAAAGCATTCTTTTGGCCAGTTCAGATTTAAATTCCCTCAAAGCCTTGTAAATTAAAAAAAGACAAATGTTAATACTTTTACAAAGGAAAGAACTATAAACACACTTGCAATTAACATTGGGAAAAGTTAGAACCCATGACTGTGGCCAATGAAAAATGAATTGGCAATAACTTTCTGAACAAATGTTTATATTCCAAATAAATTCCTGAATTTTTCTGTCCATTGTATATAACACTTTTATGTCCTTCTACTGATAATAGTTTACCTGGCATAGGACTTGATCCAAAAATAGATAAACAGTCTAAAAGGACAGTTAAATTAATTCGAAACGTAACAGATTCTTCCTGAACTTTAAACTCCTGAAATATTCCAGCCTATGAAAAAAGTAAAAATGAAAATGGTTACACAAAAGAATGAAAACTAATACATAAGGTCCTAGATTTCACTTTATATGTTTAAAAAATACAATACTGTGCTAATCCCACGAGAATAATTTCTCATTAGCAATCAAAACATCCTAGAGACATCCTTGTGAAGCATCCTTATCTCCATTCCTGGATCTAAAACTATCCCTCTGTGACTACCCCTTGTCTCATTTTTGTGCCTATCACTACTGCTTAGGTCACTTGGAAAATACACAAACGACTTGGTAACGCATGAACAATATTAGTTTCAACTTTTTTTTTTTTGAGACAGAGTTTTGCTCGTTACCCAGGCTGGAGTGCAATGGCGCCATCTCGCCTCACCACAACCTCCGCCTCCTGGGTTCAGGCAATTCTCCTGCCTCAGCCTCCTGAGTAGCTGGGATTACAGGCACGCGCCACCGTGCCCAGCTAATTTTTTGTATTTTTAGTAGAGACGGGGTTTCACCATGTTGACCAGGATAGTCTCGATCTCTTGACCTTGTGATCCACCCGCCTCGGCCTCCCAAAGTGCTGGGATTACAGGCGTGAGCCACCGTGTCCGGCCTAGTTTCAACTTTTATTATTATTTTTTATTGATATGGGGGTCTCACTATGGTTGACCAGGCTGGAGCAATCTTCCCATCTCTGCCTCAGCCTTCTGAGCAGCTGGGAATACAGGTGTGAACCACTATACCATGTCCTGCATGAGGGCAAGAACCATGTCTTATTTACCTTTCTATCCCTGACGTCATGCTGTGCACTTAGGTGTTAAAAAACGCTTAGTTGAATTTGCAATCCTATCTTAACCATACAAATATTACTCTGGAAGAATAAAAATTCTACTACAACCAGTAAAAGGAAAAAATACTCTTTAGTAATAGCAAGGTGGTAGTATCGCAGTGGTAAAGAGCATATATTCTGGAAACAAATGTTCAGGGTTCTTATCCCAATTCAGCCACTTAACAGCTGTGGGGCTGCTGGCAAATCACTTAAATTGTGCCTCGTTTCTACATATACAAAATGGAAATAATAACAGAACCTACCTTACAGGACTACTGTTAAGATTAAGTAAGTTAAATACTAAGAGGAGTGCCTAGCTAATAGTCTAGCTTTTTAGTCATTACTAACCATTATCTCTGTAAAACAAGATGGGAAAAAAAATTTGTTACCAGGAGAGAAAAAAAAACTCAAGTAAAGGCGTTTTGTTCTCTGACTTAAGACTATACAGCTATTTATTCATATACTATTTATTCAGGACTATTGACTATAAAGTCATTTATTGTCTACTAAAACCTTCAGATTTCATTAAACTGCATTTAGAATATCTATGGCACAGGCTTAAAGGCACATATTTCCATACCTGAATAAAAGCATTTGCCTGCACACACTTTGCATTTTCCACAGTTACTTTGATTCCATTTTTAGTTGCAAAACATGTGGCATGTTCTCGGAAATGAATAGCTTTCAAGATAGTGGAGAGATTCCTAACGTTGTCAAGGCTGGCCACGAGGCTGTACTGATCATCATCGTCTTGGATCTGTTGGGTCAGAAGGGGCATTGTCCGCTGCACATTCGGCCCCGAGGGATGCTTCTGGGGCCAACACCTGCTCCCGCGGATCGCGAAATACCTGAAGGGATTGGACAATAAAACTCCCATCAGTGCTGGCGAGGTCTGGCGAGCTCCACCTGCGCTGAGAAATGGAAGGGGATTGGGCAGCTGAACTTGGCTGACCAGGCCGAACCCCACCGATGCCACTTAACTGTCTTTGTAACTCTGGGAGAAAATTTTCTAAGCTACGGTTTCCTCATCTCCGTAAGGGGACAATAACGTGAAAAGTTGTGAAGAATGAAGACACGCAACTGACACGGTATCTCCGCTTGGGGCCAGCTTATCCCGGCCAAACAGGAGCTACGAATCCCTACGGAGTCGGTTTTGTGTCGCCCGCGCCGCAAGCCTCGCCTCCAACGCAACAGGCGATGGGGGGGGGGGGCGGGCTCGGAGTGCCCAGAAGATCCCCCAAGGGTCCCAGACAAGCCCATTCACCAGCTCGCCCGCTGGACAGCATCACTTACTACTCTCAGTCCTCGAGTGCTGACACCCTACCTTTGCAGTGGGGTCTGGACGCCCGAGAGCCCTTCCCGGCAAAGTCCCTGAGGAGTAGCAAGGCGGCTCCGAAAAACCGCGGAAGAAGGGAAGCGGGTCCCGACACTTTTCAGCTCGGCCCTCCACCTCGGCCACCGTCACCATGGAGCGGAACGAATCCTAGAGAGCCAAGCGTGCAGCGCCTCCAAGACCGGAAGCAGGCAGGCACCACCGAGCTGGAGGACGACCGCTGAACCGAGCGCTTAGAGCCGCCGAACCATAGAGATCGGAAAAGGGTGCGAGCGGCAACACCGGAAAGAAGGCCAAAGAGCGCAGGCGGCGAGACAAGATGGCGGCAACCAAGAGGAAACGGCGTGGAGGCTTGGCAGTTCAGGCGAAGAAACCGAAAAGAAACGAGAAAGATGCCGAACCGCCAGCTAAGCCTCGAGCCACTGCAGAGGAGGTGGAGGAAGAAGAGAGAAACCGGATCCCAGGCCCCGTTTGCAAGGTAGAAGGGTTACACCAACAGCGGCGGCTCTGTGCGCCTTTTCTTGGGGGTTCTGACTACAGCTCTACTAATTTTAGAATAGCTCGGGTGTTGACCGTAGGTCGGTTTTAGCAGTTCTCCCGGCCATACTGGACACGGAGTTTATAGCTAATTCTTGTGCACTTGGCCGCCCTCCTGGGGGCAGCGGGTTTTAGAACCTTTAGCCGGCCCACGGGGAAGCGACTGACAGGGTGCTCAGATCCAGCGTTGTCTTCCTAGTTGTTCAATTATTTTTGGAGGGTGGTGCTTTTCCTTGGTTATTTCTCGCTTTTGAGTATTTCTTCCAGTGATTAGTATTCCTATATACGGCCGAAGTCAGCTGCTGTCAGGCAGGGATCCTGAAGCTTGTTAGGTGAGCCTTTAAAAAGTTGTTGGCCTTGGGACTGTGAGTTGTTAACTAGGTCTTTAACTCAAGGGATAATGAAAGATAGTCCAGATACTTTGAGCTTTACCTGTATTGAACAGACATTGAATGTGCCACGCATTGTTCCAAGTTAAGCTTCCTTTGGCAAAGATTGCAAAGGTGACTAGAATGTGACCTCTTCCTCCTGAAATGTTGGAGTTCAGGAGGAAACTTAAGTCAGAGAAGTTGGTGGTTTTTATTCGAAAGAAGTGCACGCAAGTTGTTTCAGTTAACTTTCATTCAACTAAGAACTATTCTTAAGCTACACAGTATACTGTGGAGACAAGGATTATCTTTGACATTAATTTCTCTGTCCTCTGCACTTAGCATAGTACACTCTAGTACGGAGTAGGTGATAAGTAAATGACCCCATGTGGTGTGATGGTGAGTGAGCTCTGAGGAATGATAAGTGTGGGGGCCGGGCGCGGTGGCTCACGCCTGTAATCCCAGCACTTTGGGAGGCCGAGGCGGGTGGATCACGAGGTCAAGTGATCGAGACCATCCTGGTCAACATGGTGAAACCCCGTCTCTACTAAAAATACAAAAAAATTAGCTGGGCACGGTGGCGCGTGCCTGTAATCCCAGCTACTCAGGAGGCTGAGGCAGGAGAATTGCCTGAACCCAGGAGGCGGAGGTTGTGGTGAGGCGAGATGGCGCCATTGCACTCCAGCCTGGGTAACGAGCGAAACTCCATCTCAAAAAAAAAAAAGAAAGTAAGTGTAAATTCTAGGATCGTTATTAACAGCAACATTCTGTGCTCTTTTCTGACCTGCAGATTAGGTGGGAGTGGGAGTGGGAGGGTGGGGGGAGGGAATACTTACTTTTTATGAAAAATAAGCTGGACTTGTACACTTTCAATAAATGTTAGTGCTCTCTTCGCTCAAGGCGTTAGTTTCTATAATCTGAGCCATACTTTAATACATTCTGTGGAAATGCAGGAGATTGAGATTACTTTTACCCTAGTATAATAAGATAAAGAATCTGGAAGGATTTAGATTTAACCTTTAAGCTGCATATCAGAGGAACCGGAGAATTTTGGCATTCAAAAACGAGAGGGAACACTCCAAGGGAGAGAAAAAAGAACTGATGAAAGACTTTGAGGTAGGGAAATGCTGAAAAATGTAAAAAATAGAACCAGATTGGATTGCATTAGGCTTGATTTGGGGCAGTAATGATGTAAAAATGAAAATTTATTTTCCAATTCAGTGTCAAAGCTATGTCATTCAGATTTTGTTTAGAAAACTCTGGGAAGTAAGGATGTGATTGAAGTATTTAAAAAGTAAGCTGTTGAAAAAGCTACTCAACCATATCTGTTGGAGAAGCTCATGTCTGGGATGGTTAGTCATTGAGGAGTTTTGTGGTTCATATAAGGCACTAAATAAGTGCAGTGTGAATAAGAAAGGATTAAGAATTGTTGAAAAGAGAAATTGATAGCATTTTATAGTGCTTATGATGAGATGGGAGAAACAGGGCAAATCGAAGATTCAAACCTTGAGGGACTGAAGTGACAGCATCCAAAAAAAAAAAAAAAAGGAAAAGAAAGAAAACGAAATAGCAAGGAAATGCACCAGATTTAAGAGGTCTAAGAAAATGTTTAGTATTGTAGAGTTGAGTTTGAGGTGTTAATGAAATACTTGGATTATTAGGGCTAGAGAGAGTTCCCTTCTGTAGAGTGGACAAAAATTAAAGTTGTGGGAAGTTATTATGAGACCTGGCATAGAGAGCACAGAAAAGAGAGGGCTAAGCAAGAACTTTAAGGGTTAGGAAGAGGAATTGGAGAAATCGAAGATGAAAAAGAAGAAAGAAACCAAGGAGGGCATTTCTGGGTGGCAGATGTGGTCAGTGAATGTTGCTGAGAGATGGATTAAAGGAGTCAGCATGGTTTGACTTGCTACCTGGAAGCTCTTGAAAAACAAACAGGGCCAGGTGTGGTGGCTCTCACCTATAATTCCAGCACTTTGGAGGCCAAGCTGCTTGAGCCCAGGAGTTGGGAACCAGACTGGGCAACACAGGGAGACCCCCGTCTTTACAAAAAAATTAAATTAGCTGGGCATGATGTGACATACCTGTAATCTGCAGCTACTGCGGATGCTGAGGTAGGAGGATAACTTGAGCCCAGGAACGTGAAACTGCAGTGAGCTGTTAGCCTGCATCTCTGCATTTCAGCCTGGGCAACTGCATGAGACCCTCTCTCAAAAATAAGGTCAGTTCAGTATGAGATTTTAAAATCTTTTAACATTTTCTCTTTCTTTAGGGCAAATGGAAAAATAAGGAACGGATTCTCATCTTTTCTTCCAGAGGGATAAATTTCAGAACAAGACATTTAATGCAGGACTTGAGAAGGTTGATGCCTCATTCTAAAGCAGGTACCTTTATATCATATACTTTAGAAATTTCTATCTATAAACTCACCTATTTATATGTTGATACTTATTTTATATATTCTTCATTTGTTCAGTCTTTTCAGGAAAAAAACACAATACCTTTTATCCTTTCAAGTGCCACAATTTTTCCAGTTAACATTTTATTAGAAATTCTTTAGACTTCCATTAGGTAGTTTCTTTACTTTTTCAAACAGATATCCTGATATTATTGAAATATTTCTTGAAGGTCCAGGAATGCCTTTATTGTAATGCTCCTAAAGGTCATGACATAGGTGGGATTGTTTGTCCTAAATGATTCAGGACTACAATGTGTTACTTTTTAAGCTTTTTTTTTTTTAAACTATTTTTATTGAGAAATGGACGTGGGATAGAATTTGAAGCATCTTTTAAGTCAGAGCCTATTTCTAAATGCCAAGTTATTTATTTATTTTTAAGCAATGGGTTATTTTATAGGCACAAACAGTATGGCCAGGCATGGTGACTCATTGCCTGTAATCCCAGCATTTTGGAGGCCGAGGTGGGTGGAACACTTAAGTTCAGGATTCCAGACCATCCTGGGCAACATGGTAAAACCCTGTATCTACAAAATAAAAAAATGAAAAAAGTAAAGTAGCCAGGTGTGGGGGCCACCCACATGCAGTCCCAGCTATACAGGAGTCTAAAGCTGGAGGATTACTGGAATCAGGAGGTCATGGCTGCCATGGGCCATGATTGTGCCACAACACTTCAGCATGGGCGATGAGCAAGACCCTGTCTTAAAAAAAAAAATAAAAAGTTTATAACAGTGGAGTGGCAGCGCCATCATATGGCTGTTGTGCTTATGTTGAGAGGTGCTTTGGGTTTTTTGTTTTTTGTTTTTTAATTTTTAAAATCGGGGAGTATATGTGCAGGTTTGTTACGAGGACAGTCTGTCTTCTTTGATACCTATGATTAAAAAGTGAAAGATATTTTCACTGAAACTGGTTTCCTTTAACATAGTCTTTGGTTTGTGAGAATTTTTCCATTTTTGAAAAGGTTTCCTAGAATACCTAAAGACTGAGAAACACTGCTTAAACTGTAATTTATAATTCTTGCAGACTATTTTTTACTTATTTTCTTTACAGTGACAAAGAATTAAGATTTTTTATTTTTAATTTTTATTTTATTTATTTATTTATTTTTGAGACGGAGTTTTGCTCTTGTTAACCCAGGCTGGAGTGCAGTGGCACGATCTCGGCTCATCGCAACCTCTGCCTCCTGGGTTCAGGCAATTCTCATGCCTCAGCTTCGCGAGTAGCTGGGATTACAGGCGTGCGCCACCATGCCCAGCTAATTTTTTTGTATTTTTAGTAGAGACAGGGTTTCACCATGTTGACCAGGATGGTCTCAATCTCTTGACCTCATGATCCACCTGCCTCGGGCTCCCAAAGTGCTGGGATTACAGGCGCCCGGCCAGAATTAAGATTTTTTAAGTGATTGTTTTCAGGTCTTGTTTTGAAAATTAATAATAAAAATCTCCTTTAAACTGAAGAGTGTAAAAACAATTTCTAGATAGCATATGTGGTTTGATTGAAGTAACTTTGAAATCACCTTTAATTTACTTGCTTTTTCTTTTTTTCTAGATACTAAAATGGATCGTAAGGATAAGCTATTTGTGATTAACGAGGTAATTTTGGAAAGTAATTGCAATAAAATATTTTAGAAACACTAACAATTGCTTATTTCAAAAATAAGTCATGCAGTGACTTTAAAAATTGTTTTGTAAAAGCTCTTCAGACACATTTTATTATCTCTTCAATAACTGGGTCTTTCAAATTTTTATATCTCACAGTTCTTCACACATTTCTGTTTGTCTTGTTTGAACAAGCATATTGAATTTCCTCAGGACAATGATTGTATCCCATTTCCTAATCCCGTAGTGTCTAGTATTATGCCAAATCCCAAGTAGATACTCAAAAAATTATCAGTTGACATATATAAAGTAAAATTAAAAGTCCATTAAACATATAAATATGAAAACCCACATGGGAAAACGCATTTTGCTAGTATTAAAAGTGATTCATGTGGAATTGGCACTTAAGCCATTACAAACTAGGAATAGGTTACATTTTTGAAGTATTTTTTAACATACTACACTCATGTATTTTTTTTTAAGCTCTAGAAGCACAGCACATAAATTTACATTTTAAAGCAAAATGTTCAAAACTTAGAAGAATTAAGATAGTTTTTTCACTATTAGAAAGCCTTCTTTAGAGTACAAACTTTAGAATCTCTGCTGTAATCCCACACTATTCCATGTGCTGTAGAAACTGCTTAACAGAGCAATGTTCCTGTCCTTATGGAACTTACATTTAAATGGAGACAGGCCATAAACAAGGTTTATAATTTCAATTAAAGGTAGGAGAAATAAAGGAGGTTATAGGTTTTCGACAGCTCAGGCTAGACCAGAAAAACATTTTCTAAGGGATGATGTTTAACTTAATATAGAGAAAATGGCAACTACAAAGGCCCAGAAGTGGCACAAACTTCCCATTTTTGTGTTTATTTAAGACCAGTAAGAAACAAAAGCATTGGACCTAAGATTCTTTTTTAAGTTGTTAGGGTTTATTTGTTTGTTTTAAATATTTTGGAGACAAAGTGTCGCTCTCCTGCCCAGGCTGGTGTGAAGTGGTGTGATGTCAGCTCACTGCAACCTCTGCCTCCCAGGTTCAAGTAATTCTCCTGACTTAGGCTCCCTAGTAGATGGGACTACAGGCACATGCCACTATGCCCAGTTAATTTCTTGTATTTTTAGTAGAGACAGGGCTTTGCTCTATTGCCCAGGCTGGTCTCCAGCTCCTGAGCTTAGTTCATCTGCCTCAGCCTCCCTAAGTGCTGGGAGTACAGCCATGAGCCACTTCGTCCAGCCATAAGTTGTTAGGTTTAAAGTCTGAAATATGGAGTTTATGAGTATTATATTATTTAGAGTTTATGAATACTATAGCAGTAAAAGACTTCATTCCTGTAACGTTTCTGTATTTTTCTCAATTGTGACTTTGTAAACCTTCAGGACCTTGAGGTTTAATTTGAAATAGGTTTTATATAGACTTTTTACCCAATCTCTTAGTGATTTTATAGAAACAAATCACCAGAAATGGTAGTATAAATGAAGAACAGCTTAAGTTTTGTGATCTTAAAATCAAAAAGCTAAAAAGTTAAAAATCTAAATAATCATTAAAAATGATGTTTTTAGTTCTATAAGGATCTGGATTTTCATAAGATTGGCTAAGAAGATTGATTATGAAGGATTAGCATAAGAGGATTAATTGTGGTATGCCTTATCCCTAGGGCAACTATTTTCAGTCTTCATGGTTTGTACATGGGACTATGGGCAGAAGAGTTTCCCAGTAATCAGAAGTGAGACCATTTTAGATACTAGGCCCAAAAATGTGATAGATATTTCACCCAAGAGATGGGCAGAGCATCTAGTTCACCTTGGGCAGAATACCTCAGAGGAACTTTAAAGCTTCCTTCTATGAAGAAATAAATGCTTAGGCCTGTTAACCTAGTTAGATATTTTTGAGGGAATCTAGATGATATTAATCACGTCTAATTACTTTAGTTCTCATTTATATTATATACTTAATTTTCCTATACTTTGCTTCATTTAGGTTTGTGAAATGAAAAACTGTAATAAATGCATCTATTTTGAAGCTAAGAAAAAACAGGATCTCTATATGTGGTAAGAGAATGTATTAAGATTTTGGCTAAACTCATTTTAGTGGATAAAGAAAATTAAATATATGAATATTATAAGCATATTCTGGTATTTTTTTAATGGTGAATAGGTAGTAAGCATTGACTACATTCGCTAATTAGTTGAAAAAGCTTCCTCCATATCTTTCAGGCTTTCAAACTCACCTCATGGACCATCTGCTAAATTCCTTGTTCAAAATAGTAAGTTGACTCAAAACAATTTTTTGGATGAGAAAATTGAAAATGATCTTTTGGAATAGTTGTGCAAAAGTTATAACTATTTTTGTTTTTGTTGTAATTTTTTTAGTTCATACCCTTGCTGAACTAAAGATGACTGGAAACTGTTTGAAAGGTTCTCGGCCCCTTTTGTCTTTTGACCCGGTAAGTTTCTCACTCAGTGTATGAGGTCTAATTTTCTTATCCGGCATGATTGTATAGTTGTGTAATTCAGTTTAGTTAACATAGAAACAAATGAGCAAACAGTTTTAAACAAGGCACTCTGCCGTTGTCAAATAATATGTTTATTTTACTTTTATAGGCTTTTGATGAATTACCACATTATGCTTTGTTAAAAGAACTCTTAATTCAGGTAAGTATCTTTTCTAAAAAGTATCTTTAGTGGTATAAGTGAGCATCTTCTTTGAACTTTTTCTTAGCTATCCAAAATGTATGTGATATATTTTGGAATAAGAAACTAACATATACTTGTTTTTTAACTAGATCTTTAGTACACCACGGTATCATCCCAAAAGCCAACCATTCGTGGACCATGTGTTTACTTTCACGATTTTGGATAATAGGATATGGTTTCGGAACTTTCAGGTAAGCTTTACTTAATTTTTAATTATACTTTTTTAAATTGAGTTAATTTTTTTTTTTTTTTTTTTTTTAAGAGACAGAGTATTGTTATGTTGCCTAGGTTGGTCTTGAACCTCCTGGCCTCAAGTGATCATCCCTCCTCTGCATCTAGAGTAGGTAGGATTACAGGTGTGAGCCACTGTGCCTGGTCAAGTTTTAATTAAACTTTTAGATAAGGATATATAGGGTTTACAAACACAAAAAATGCAAATAATCCTTTTATTTTAAATAGCTTTCTTTTCCCTACAGAGATTGCTGCAAGTAACTATGTATTGAGTCTTTTTTTTTTAATTCAATATTTGCAGTTGAACTGTCTTGTGTCTTAAGTGACCTCTTCCTCCTCCTATTCATGACTGTTAGTTGATATAGAGTATGGATTTCCTAACAACCATTATATATTTCACTTTATTGAAAGGGAATAGCTTGAAGATCCATGAGATTATTGGGTTCCTAATTTGTGCGAAGTGCTGTAAAGGATACAATAAAATAGAAGTTTCTCTCTAAAAGCTTAAAAATCACCTCAAGGGTTAAAACCTAGTAAAATGTAATTGCTGTAGAAGCCATTCAATGGGAACTGTTGCATGATGAGTCATACAGTGACTCATTCAGGAGAAGAGAAGAGGTGATTCTAGAAATCTTGAAGCAGGAGTTTGGCAGGATAAGTCTGTAGAAAGATGAAGAGGTGGAAGGGAACAGCAAGAACAAAATTTTAGACAGCATATGACATAACTGAGCTCTATTCTGCATCTTTTATATTGGATACCCGGCATGTGAGTTGAACACATCCTTTTAACCTCCGAGGGCAGACATGCCTGAACCAATAGATAACAAACATTTGTTGTTCAGAAGTTGCTTTTTAATTCCATAATCAGTAGCTATTAAATAAATTTGACTACATATAATTTTAATCTAACTTGAAAGAGATTTATGAATTTAGGGATTGATTTAAGTTTCAAGAGTTCTCTCATAATGTGCTTGAATACATTTTGTTAATAGTGGTTACTATTTTAAAATTTTATTTAACCACAGTTTTTTAACAATATATGCATTGTGAGAAGCAAGATGTGAACTAAAATCTAATTACTCAATTTTAAAAGAATACACACACAAAGATTTTTCCATATCAACTTCGTGTAAGTACTAATAGATTTCAGAAAATATTGATGATTTGGCATTTACCAGGTTTCACCCCACCTTGATTTTATGGATTATCAATTCTTTCAGGCACATTTATAATGAGGTTATAGCTAGTATACCTTTTAGGAATAATATATCCAAACCAAAATGAAATGTTTCCTTTTTATTAAAGATTATAGAAGAAGATGCTGCTCTTGTAGAAATAGGACCTCGTTTTGTCTTAAATCTCATAAAGATTTTCCAGGGAAGTTTTGGAGGACCAACTTTATATGAAAACCCTCACTACCAGTCACCAAACATGGTAAGCTGTTGTGTTCAGTAGTCTTCAATGTACCAGAGCCCTTTTGCCAAAATGATTCTGTGAAGTTATTACTGTTTTATTACCTGTGAAACTGAATTTGGTTTTTGCTGCCTAGAGACTTGCAAATTACTCCCCCTTTTTTATGATACTGGGTGAGGGATGTAAGGTTCATAACTGAAAGTCTTTGCCTTATATAAAATGTTTATTTTTATTCAAAAGTATCTAATCTTTTTTTCCTAGCATCGGCGTGTCATAAGATCCATCACAGCTGCAAAATACAAAGAGAAACAGCAAGTGAAAGATGTGCAGAAACTGAGAAAGAAAGAACTGAAGACTCTTCTTCCACACGATCCCACTGCAGATGTTTTTGTTACGCCAGCCGACGAGAAACCAATAGAAATACAGTGGGTAAAGCCAGAGCCAAAAGTTGATTTGAAAGCACGAAAGAAACGGATTTACAAAAGGCAAAGAAAAATGAAACAGAGGATGGACAGAAGGAAAACAAAATAAGTCAATGAAAACCTGATTTGTTTTCAGTTATTTTATGTTTATTTTGTATTCAATGTGTAAATACTTTTATTATCCAGTACTACTTATGTTTAATTAGTGTGGCATTTAAAAGAAAAAATCTTAAAATCAGTGATTTATCTTCTTCTAAATAAAATATCACCAGAATTCATCAGTTAATTTCTGATTTCTTTAAAAATTTAGCACAGTTAAGATGTGCCTATTATCTTGGGTTAGAATTTTTGGTTTAGCAGAGCTGAAATGCAGACATTAGGTTATATTCTTTGTAAAACAAAGCATTCGACACTGAGAGCATAGGTTGTAAAGCAGGAGTAGACTGGTAGAACGAAGAGCATCTCCCTGAAGTTTACTCTGAGTCACTAGTTAATGAAGCCATGGAAGAACCAACCTCTGATCTTTTCTCACTTCAAAAAAGTACATTAAAATGTTTGGGCTTTGAGAATTAAATGAGTTAATGCCTGTCTTGAAAGCATTTTGTAAATTATACATTATGTATATGTGTATGTATTTTGAGATGGAGTCTTGCTCTGTCACCCAGGCTGGAGTGCAGTGGCACAATCTCGGCTTACTGCAACCTCTGCCTCCTGGGTTCAAGAGATTCTCCTGCCTCAGCCTCCTGAGTAGCTGGGATTACAGGCATGCATCATCATGCCCAGCTCATTTTTGTTTTTAGTAGAGACGGGGTTTCTCCATGTTGGTCAGGCTGGTCTCAAACTCCTGACCTCAGGTGACCTGCCCACCTCAGCCTCCCAAAGTGCTGGGATAAAGGGTATAAGCAACTGTACCTGGCCAGATTACATAATTATTTTAGAAGCAGTGTGTATAGATAGCTTATTTAAAAACCTTATAGTAAAAGGAGAAAAAAATAGGAACGTTGGTTAGAGGGAATACCAGAACATTTGAATTTCTCCCCACGTAAAAGAGAAACTACTTATTGTATAAGGGGCACTGGATGTAAGATCTTATGGGTAAATTAATAACAGGGAAAGAAAAGATTGAGTACCAGACCATGGAGGTAGGTGGCTGCTGACACGAACAGATATAAATTTGATACTACATAACACAGATCTAATGAAATTGCACTGTTTCATCACCTACTTTTTGACTTCACATTGATCATTTTTCTGTGTGTGTTCTACATGTTTACTTGCTAACTTCATAGTATTCTGTGTACCATAGCTATGTAATCAGTATGATCAGTGTTTTAAGTTTTTCTTTTGCTGGTATAGGTGCTTGTAGTGAATCCTTGTCTACATATGTTACATATGTCTTTTTATACAACACTCATGGTTTCCTGGAAGTGGAATTTAGGTTAAAGGTTATGAACACTAGGCTTTTTGCTTGCTCTCTCCGTCACTGTGTCCTCACTAGAAGTTAGAGGGTTCATTTCCTTGTCCCCCACTAATTTCACTATGCATGAAACAATCTGTCAATAGGTTAAAAACACTTTTTTTTAATTAGTTACTGGTTTATCCTCTTTGACTGTACTAATCATGTTTGTTTTTCTGTGGTAGGATTGTCTTACTGATTTTATAAGCACTTTTATATAGTAAGTTTATTACAGATATCTTTCCTAGTTCACTTACATTTTAATTTTATGTCTATTATTTTAGCCATAGGCAGGGTGATCAATATTCATGGTTTTTTAAAAAAAAATTTGTTAAGGCCTTCCTGAGTGTTTGATTGGCTACTTTTCTTGAAATCATCTAAATTAGGATACTTGAAATCTTGAAGTCACCTAAATTATGCAGGTAATTCAGGTCAGAGGTTCACTTGAAATACTTGTATGTGACTAACTAGGGCCAAATATGGTTAAATGGAAAAAACCAAAGTGGCCATTTTATTTAGGCAGTTGAATATAGTCTTTGATAAAAATAAGACAGCCATATTCAGAATTTATTTTTGAACACCCACATTTCAGTAACAAGTTAATTATAGGTAATAAAGATAAACAATTGAGTAGAGTTACAAACTTGTACTTTTGATAAGTGCATTGCAGCGTTTTGGTGGAATTTCCAATTTCACAATTTTGAATTAACAGTTTCCATGCAGAGATAAGCTTATATCTCAAATTCCCTTTCACAATTATATGGATACATTATTTGAGGATTCCTCAGGACTGGATCATCTATCAAGTCTGTAGATATTTAAAGGGCAGCTGTTTAATAAAATATGTTCTTTTATTTATTAGAAGCAGGGTCTTGCTCTGTCACCGTGGGCTGTAGTGCAGTAGCGTGTTCATAGCTTACTGAAGGCCGTTAACTTCTGGGCTCAAGTATTCTTGCCTCAGCCTCCTGAGTAGCCAGGGCTACAGGCCCATGCCACCACACTTGGCTAGTTTAAATAAAAATTTTTTTTTTCTGTAGACACAAATTCTCTCTATGTTGCCCAGGCTGGTCTCGAACTCTTGGGCTGAAGGGATCCTTCTGCCTCGGCTTCCCAAAGTGTTGGGATTACAGGTATGAGCCACCATGCCTGGCCAAGATACTCCTTTAGACTGAAATTTATATCCAGCGTAGTTAGCTTTAACTTTCTGTACAATGCTATCGGCAAAAATCCCCTTTTCTTTAGAAGGTAAAAGAGGTGATTCCTAGAGGTTGTATCCAAAACCAGATTAAATTGGAGGAAGAAAAAACTACTTTTCTTGTCCATTTTTGTTCCCCCATCATCCCAATTCTGTTCTTAGGAGGGAAAAGATTTCATTTTCCCCCAAACTCAGACTTCTCAATCCCTATCCATTGCCAATTTACCAACTGAGACTGTGTAGAATCTTCCTCTGGAAAAAAGGGAAGTGTATGAATTCTGAGTAGTGAGTTGGTTGGACAGTGGTGAGTGAAGTAACCTAATGAAGCTTAGAGTTGGTTTCTTCTGTTGTACTGTGGGCAGCATATTGGGGAAAAGGATAACCTTCCTAAACTGCTTGGGTAACCCAACCCTGTGCAATAGATATTAGCAATGCAGCTAACCATACATAGTTGGTAAATACAATTCACACCTGATGCATGTAAACATTTCACATTACAGTGAAATAAATTGGTATATTAATGCATTTTAAAAACAATTACGGTATTATTTTGATACCTTATCAAAGTGTTTGGAATAGTTGTACAGATCTCCCATCTTGTAATACAATGTAATACAGCTAGTTAGATCAACCAAAACCTACTGGTTAAATACTATCCTTTAACTGCTTGCTTGCTCTCTCTCTCTCTCTTTCTTTTCTTTTTTTGAGACGGAGTTTCATTCTTGTTACCCAGGCTGGAGTGCAATGGCACGATCTCAGCTCACTGCAACCTCCGCCTTCTGGATTCAAGCAATTCTCCTGCCTCAGCCTCCCGAGTAGCTGGGACTACAGGCACGCACCATCATGCCCAACTAATTTTTGTATTTTTTTTTTTTTTTTAGTAGAGACGGGGTTTCACCTTGTTGACCAGGATGGTCTCGATCTCTTGACCTCGTGATCCACCCGCCTCTGCCTCCCAAAGTGCTGGGATTATAGGCATGAGCCACCGCGCCCCGCTAACTGCTTTCTTAAACTAAACCAATCGTGGAAAGGTAGGATTAGAGGCTAGAAAGTTAGGATTAAAGAGTGATGGATGGATAGATCAGCAGTTTCATCCATGTTGGTGTGTAGGGCCACATCCCTAAAGGGTCGTGGAGTGTCCCCTTATCGCTGTTCTGAGGCGCAGGATCCGAGAGGTAAAGAGACAGGACACAGAAGGACTGGAAAAGACTGCTGGGCTGGGGTTCTACGCCACTTACAAGCGGAGACAGGTGAGGCCCCGAACGTCCAGGAGCATCTGTAATTTATTGGGTACAAGACAGGGGGAAGGGTAGTGGGTGAGGTCATCTCAAGGACAGTGATAGGGTCAAGACAATCACGTGTGCGACAAGCAAAGGGTCCACCCCCATTAGGTCACCAAGTCAAGGAGGTGGGCCGTGTGTAGCAAGGGGTCCACCCCCATTAGGTCACCTAGGCTAGGAGGTGGGTCATGCGCAGTAAAGAGTGCAGTGCGCAATATCTCTTATCTAGGGGCAGGCTACTTCTAAGGAATTCTATAGGAGGATGCTGTTGAGTCACACAGCAGCGACAGAGTTGACAGGGTCTACCGCCACCTGCTGGCAGCTTCCAACGATTTCTATAGGAGGATGCTCTGAGCCAGCACAGTTACTAGAGATTTGACAGGTTAAACAGCTAACAGGACGTGATTATACCCGAGGGGGTTTAAGCCCTCGGCCGCTCATGGGATTGCGGGTCTAAGGGCAGTCTTCCACAAGAACTGGACGCAAGGTACTACAACTCCTTTTTCAGGAGGAGAGGGTCTTGATCCAAGCCTACCATACAGCAAGTATCTTGACGATAGGGAACGCTGCCGCCTGGGCCATAGATCTTGTCCTGGTATAACTTTTTCCCTTAAATCATGCTCTGCACCTGTGTCTGCTCTAGACATTCCTCCAACTATGAGCAAGATATGCATAGCTGTTTAGCCCTTAATTCATGCTCTGTACTGTGTCTGCTCTAGGCATTTCTCCTACTACGAACTAATATATAATTTTATATATATATGGAAATAACTGAGTAGTAAGATATTCTTCAGGCACTAATTGTTCCCACTATAAACTAATACATGATTGATTACATAAAAGATTATATAGAGGAAATAACTGGGTAGTAACACTATAAACTAAAATATTCTTCAGGCACTAATTGTGCTGAGGATCTGCTTAGCTCTTCTTCCTCGGTGACCAGATGGGGGGATACCCACATGGGTGGTAAGGCTTTTCGTTATTTGTTTATTTTTATTTTTATTTTTAAAATTTTTAGTGGAGATGGGGTTTCTCCATGTTGGTCAGGCTGGTCTTAAACTCCCGACCTCAGGTAATCCACCCACCTCGGCCTCCCAAAGTACTGGTATTACAGGCTGAGCCACCACACCCCACCTCGTTATTTCTGAGTTGACGCTTTCCCTTTTAAATTGTTTCCGATTACATAATCCTACTGTCCTTTGTCATGCCTATTGGTCAATAATATCAATACCAGAGATCTTAAGTGGCAGCTGAAGAGAACTGAAACAATAAAAACCCTGGTATTCAGTCCAGCCGAATTCTGCTATTCTGTTAGCTGAGGAGGCTTTAGCCAGTCACTTGACCACTTGGAGCCTGAATCCCCTCATCTATAAAAACGGGCTCCATTGAGAACGTATAATCAGGTGTTTTCTAGAATCCTCTCCCATCCCAGCACCTATCTCCCCATTCAGCCCTTAGGTCGGCTGCCACTCACACTGATCGCCAACTGTGCCCCTCACAATGACACCAGCGTGGCCCCGCCTCCCTCACGCGTCCCGCCACTCACCCCAAGGCCCCGCCTTCTTCCTGTGCTTCCCCGCCGAGGCCCGCCTTCCTCCCACGCGGCGTGCCTAGCTCCCTGCCAAGGCTCCGCCTTCCTCCCGCACGGCCCGCCTCTCTCCCCGCCAAGATCCTGACTTCCTCCCGCGCGACCCGCCTCTCTCTTTGCGAAGGCCCCACCTTCCCTCGGGGCGGCACCGCCAAGGCTCCTCCTTCCTCCCGCCCGGCCCCGCCTCTCACCCCGCCGAGGCCCCGCCTTCCTCCCGCGCGGCCTCTTCCGGAACAGGGCTCACCCCCAGTCCATGCGAAGCCGCGGCCGCCGGCACTGCCCACTCTGCGCTCCCGTGAGCCGCGGCCCGCGTTGTCCGCCGTCACCGCGCGCCTCCACCGCCCATCGCCGCAGCCGCCGCCGCCGCCGCGCTCGCTGGCTGACCCAGTGCGGGCGGCGGGCTCCCGCCGGAGGAGAGGACAGTCAGCGCCGCTGCCGCCGCCGCCGCTTCAGCCGGAGCCAGGACCCCGACCCCGATCCCGTCCCGGGCCCCAGCGCTAGCCGGCCGCCCGGTCGGGCGATGAAGTGTCACTACGAGGCGCTGGGGGTGCGGCGCGACGCCAGTGAGGAGGAGCTCAAGAAGGCCTATCGGAAGCTGGCCCTGAAATGGCACCCGGGTAGGTACCTGGCTCGCAGCTGCCGCGGCCCCTTGGCGAAGCCCGGCCCTCCACGACCTTCCCCTCCTTCGGGCGGACCCCAGGCGACCCGGCGGCCTCGGAGCTCCTTGCCCGGCCCGGCCAGTGCCCGGCGCCGCCCAGTCCGCCTTGGTGGACGCAGCACTCAGCCCAGGCTCCCCTCGCCTCACACACCGTCTCCTCATCCCCGCGACCCCGGTCCCGCTTCGCCACTGTGCGGGGAAAACTGCGGTCCCGCGACCTCACCTGCTCCCGCCACTGGGACGCTGACACCAAAAGGGAGCATTCCTGGACTCGGAACTCGAACCTGCCCCAGGCTTGCCCTTTTCTGCGTCCCTTGCAGCGCAGACTCTCGGTGTTTTTCCTCGGCTGCCCTCCGCTTCGTCCGGTAATCCTAGATACTTAAACCTGATGTATGGCCCCTTTCCTTTCTTAGTTAAGACACGGGAGCTAGTAAGGGATGCGCTTATTTTTTTTTTTTAAGAGGCTGATTAAGCAGACTCTGTACTTCACTTTGGACATGATTCTGCCGAGGAAGAGTTAATCAGGCAGCTTCCCTAGTGAAGTTTGTATGTTTACTTAGAAGTATCCTTCCTTTGGGACTTGGGCTATAATCCAGGCCTGTGTGACTTTTATGAAGTAATTTGATCTTCCAGGCTGGGTAACTAAGACTGTAGTTGATACTCAGTTTTTTGAGGTTCATATGAATAGGGTTTCATATTAGCATTAATTAGTACACACGGTTACAGAGTATCCAATATATGCAAGTCACTGTACTCTACTGCTTTGTAGATTTGGAAGTGCCAAGACAGGGATCTTAGAGTCTTGTTAGGAAAACAACTTTCTGCCTCACAACTGCCAAAAAAAATTAGAACATACATAATTGGTAGATTAATAGAATAACTAATAAGTGCTCCAGGAATTCAGGGAGGGAGTTATCATTTTGTATTGACTCTTCCGCTTCTCAGAGGAGTTTGGACTGGATCCTAGAGGAATGTAGTTTGGAAAAGTGAACTCAACAGTATGGAGAATAGCATGGTGGAGGACGATAGATGTTCCGGGGGACAGTTTGATTGAAGGTGGTCTTTATTGCAAGTCTGAAAAATATGGATTGAGAGAGAAGTGGAAGTAAGGGCCAGGAACACAAAGTCAAAAGGGAATGGCTATGGTTGATGGAATGAGAGATAGAGGTATGGTCTGTTACTTAAAGTTATGCTTACCAACAGAGGCATGAAAAAATGTGGTTATAAATATATTAGGGCCAAGCGTGGTGGCTTACGCCTGTAAATCCTAGCACTTTGGGAGGCCGAGCCAGGCGGATCACCTGAGGTCAGGAGTTCGAAACCAGCCTGACCAACATGGTGAAACCCCATCTCTACTAAAAATACAAAAATTAGCCCAGCGTGATGGCAGGTACCTGTAAGACCACCTCCTCGGGAGGCTGAGGCAGGAGAATGGCTTGAACCTGGGAGATAGAGGTTGCAGTGAGCTGATATCAGGCCATTGCACTCCAGCCTGGGGTACAAGAGTGAGACTTCCTCTCAAATAAATAAATAATAAAATAAATAGAAGAGCAGAAGTAAATGAACTGATGTTCATCATAGCAGCAAGTTAGAAGATAACAAGCCAAAATTAATAAATGTAAAAATAGTGTAGAAGCATATTCTTAGAGTTTGGGTTAGTGTAGAAGCATATGGGTTATTACTGATCTTGAATATTAGGCTAAGAACTGTGAAATTAGCTTTGCTAAATAATGGAGAGTTGTGTCTGCTTTTATTAAGCTGCCTTGGGAGGGCACTATGAAGGCAACTGAATGGATTGAAGAGGGCTGTAAACAGAGGGAGGGTCCACAAGTGGACAGGTAAGGCCCCAAGCCAGGCTCAGGGTCAGTGGGAGGGGGAAAGCCCAAGGAGGGAGATGTTGGGAAGAAAAAATGACCAGATTTGGTGATTAATTGAAATCAATGCAAGGAAGAAGCACACAAATATGACTAAAATATCAGTTAACTATTATTAAAATGTAACTAAAATATCAGTTAAAACCAAACCTGTTAGGAACTAAATGCAAGTATCTTCTCAGAATAGCATCATAATTTATGGCATCAGTGTGATGGTATATGAGAATGGGCAGCTGGAAGCCCTGAAGAGCCATGTTCTAGGGCTGCAAAACTATTTGTAGATGGTACTTTGCCGTCATGTTTTCTTCTAACTTCTTAGAAGGGGAAGTACTGAGCTGTAGCTTAAAGAACTTTAGTGTGCTCCAATTCAAAATATTTTACTTTCTGAATGTATTAGTTGTCTATTGCTGTGTAACAAATTACCAATACCTTAGGGCTTAAGACAACAAGCAAGAAAAACAGCAAGCATCTGTTCACAGTATGGACTCCCATAATTTTTAAGGATCAGAATCTGAGAGCGGATTGGGCTGAGTGATTTTGGCTCGCTGTCATTATCTAGGAGAACCTGCTTCCAGCTCACCAACACAGCAGCTCGCCAACAACCGACTCATGGTTGTGGCAGGCCTCAGTGCCCTGCTGGCTATTGGCCGGGGCCTCTTCACCTCATGAGCTTCTCCATAAGCAGCCTGAGTTGCTCATGCTATGGCAGCTGGCCACTCCCAGAGTGATCAAGAGAGGAAAACCCAAGGTAGAAACTGCAGTCTTTTATAACCGCATTTCAGAAGTGAAGTACCATTACTTCTGCCATCTTCTGTTGGTCACACAGACTAACCTTGCTGACACAGGAGAGATTGTACAAGATGTGAATGCTGGGAGGAGGCGGGGTGCTGTCTTGTAAGCTGACTACCACCTGGAGGCAAACATGCTTTCTGAATTCCATGGTTCAGAAAGCACAGCTAAGGAAAGAATAACTGATTAGTATATATTTTTTAAACTTTATGAGATTCCTTTTGATATACACTGATGAGAAAGAAAAAAACAATGTGAGCACTGAACGTAATCTAGCACAGAATAAGCCTTTCTAGAACTAATTTTATTTATTTTACTCCTTTTAAAAGTAAAATTTATACTACTCAGGTTTTTTCATTGTGGATCAGCTGACTTTATTTTCTAGAGATGTTGTCTCGCTCTGTCACCCAGGCTGGAACACAGTGGTGCAATCTCGGCTCACTGCATCCTCTGCCCCCTGGGTTCAAGTGATTCTCCCACCTCAGCCTTCCAAGTAGCTGGGACTACAGGCCCTCACCGCTACAGCCGGCTAATTTTTTTTTTTTTTTTTTGAGACGGAGTCTCCCACTGTGGCCCAGGCTGTAGTGCAGTAGCATGATCTTGGCTCACTGCAATCTCCACCTCCTGGGTTCAAGCAATTCTCCTGCCTCAGTCTCCTGAGTAGCTGGGACTACAGGCGCACACCACCACACTCAGCTAACTTTTTTGTATTTTTAGTAGAGACAGGGTTTCACCATGTTGGCCAGGATGGTCTCGATCTCCTGAGCTCATGATCCACCAGGTTCAGCCTCCCAAAGTGTTGGGATTACAGGCGTAAGCCATGTGCCTGGCCTAATTTTTTGTATTTTTAGTAGAGATGGGGTTTCACCAGTAATCCTGCTTATTGACTGTTATGCATGGTCTCTCTGCTTTGCCTTAGTTGTCTGTCTTTGTTTTGTACACTTCTCATCTATTTATGGCATTTCTGATGGAAGAGGTCTTATTTAGATTCTGCCCTCTACATTTTCGATTGACTAAATTTTTGTGACTTTATTTTAACAGATAAAAATCTGGATAATGCCGCAGAAGCAGCCGAACAATTTAAATTAATCCAAGCAGCATATGATGTGTTGAGTGACCCTCAGGAAAGAGCATGGTGAGCATCGTGCTGTCCTTCCCATCCTACTTTGTGATGTTGGGAGCAGTTATCAATATAGGTGGTTGTTTTTTCAAATTTAATACATCAAATGGTTTTTGCTGTATTCTGAAGCATCTGTCACCTAGTCATCACATAAAATCTAATATTTGGGTCGGAAGAAACCTTGAAAATGATTGCTCCAACTGTCTGATTTCCTGAAGGGGTGAAACAGAAAGTTTGGTGATATTATATAGTTTTAATTTTGATACTTAAGGTGACTTCTCATTAAATACCCTTTGGTGTATGACAGATTTACTGGTACCAGGCACAAAGAATGTTGAGTTATCTTTAAAAACAGATACAGTGTTGTGTTTTGTTTTGTTTTGTTTTTGAGAGAGTCTTGCTCTGTCACCCAGGCTGATGTACAGTGGCATGATCTTGGCTCACTGCAACCTCCCCCTCCCAGGTTCAAGTGATTCTCCAGCCTCAGCCTCCTAAGTAGCTGGGACTATATGTGTGAGCCACTAAGCCAGGCTAATTTTTTGTATTTTTTTTTTTAGTAGACACAGGGTTTCACCATGTTGGCCAGGCTTGTCTTGAATTCCTGAACAATCCACCTGCCTTTACCTTGCAACGCTAGGATTACAGGTGTGAACCACTGCGCCTAGCCAGTACAGTGTTTAAATACAAGAATAGTAATCCTTGAAACTATGTAAAGGAATTGAATTAAGCTTCTGTGTCTCTGACGGATATTGCTAATGATGGTCTGATCATTTAACATCATTTCCAGGTGAAAACTATTATGTTTGAAGTTCTGTGTTTTCAGATTCTCAATTAATCTTTTGCCACAAAGAAAAAGGTTTTAAAACTTGATATAACTATGCAAGATCCTACTCTTACAAAGAGCTACTGTGCAAGTCATCTTTCTGTTAAACAATGTACAGCACAGGTGATTGTCTAGAAAGAAAGGCTGTAAAGAAAATTCTTATAAAATTGTATTTTATGAGAAAATCAGAGAGGATCCTGAACATTTCCCTACCCAAGGAATTTGGAGATCTGGTCTTAGAATTGCTTTTGCCATCCTCCTAGAACTTGGAAATTCTTTCCTGACTTCCTTTTGCCTAGTCTCTTCTCAAGATCTTGGGTTGTTCTCTGATCCTTGGAATTTTCTGATCCTTTGTCTTTTTATTCAAAGCTCTTGCTTTAACTCTTTTTGCCTGGAAGCCATACCATGTAGTGGCTAGGAGCTGATCTTCCCAATGTAGGATACCTGCTTCTGAATTCTGACCTTGCTGCTTACTGGGTTTATGATTATGGATGACAAATTATGAATATCACTGAGCTTCCATTTCCTCTTAACTGGAGATAATAACTACCTTTACAGAGTTACTTTGAGAAGTAATTATATATGTGTGAAGCTCCTAGATTAAGTTGACATAAACGTAGGAAGAATCTTATTCTGGTGCATCTTGGTAAATTTCCAAACCACAGATGTGTAGTGATTCTATGGGCCAGATTTCCTATGTCATGTTTTATATTTCTTTTCTGTGGAAATGCAGGACTCAGAGACAGTCATGAAAATTCCCTGGCTTTTTAAATTCCCCTGTTCACATGGGCTAGCATTGTATAATGTATCAGAAGTTGCAGACCTAGTTGTAATTAACAGTTCATAAGGAAACATTATGAAGTCTTTTCATGTTGCTGTTTTCTTAAAATTTTTTGATTACAGATTGGACACATCCACAACCAAAAATGTAGAGTAATAATATTAAAAAGGAGCAGTAAATCCTTTTGAATTCTTATTTATTCAGCCTTCACTGATGATACCAATTTTTGTTTTTCAGGTATGATAATCATAGAGAGGCCCTACTTAAAGGTGGGCTTGATGGAGAATATCAAGATGACAGCTTAGATTTGCTACACTATTTCACCGTTACCTGTTACTCTGGTTATGGAGATGACGAAAAGGTAAGATAAATGAAATCACCCTTAATTTCTTATCAAGGACTTCATTAAGACTCACATGCAAAGAGAATTCTTAACATTATTCTTGAACAGAAAATGAAGCAGTGTTCATTTTGAAAATGGAAGATGCGTTGTCTTCATATTTAAACTGTCGGTGTATAAAAACCTCCAATTGAAATCTAAGTGTACTTGCAGTGACTGAACTTGGTCCCAAAATTCTTCAACATTAAAATTTTTCATTTTGTATTTCAAAATCTTATTCTGTGATTAGGCTGCAAAAGTATTAAGAATTTTTTTTTGTTGCTGTTTTGAAGGGCTTTTACACGGTGTATCGTAATGTTTTTGAAATGATTGCAAAGGAAGAACTAGAATCTGTGTTAGAGCAAGAGGCTGATGATTTCCCAACTTTTGGAGACTCCCAGAGTGACTATGATACGGTAAAAGAAAAATGCATTGTGTTCTATAATTAGTATTTATCACTGTGCCATTTTTTTCTTTTATTTTTTGAGACAGGGTCTCATTTTGTCACCCAGGCTACAGTGCAGGGGTATGATCATATCTCACAGCAGCCTCTGAGTCCTGAGCTTAACCAATCTTCCTACCTCTACCTCCTGAGTAACTGGGAACACAGGTGTACACCACCACATCTAGCTAATTTGTAAATTTTTTTGTAGACATGGGTCTTGCTAAGCTTCCTAGGATGATCTTGAACTCCTGGCCTCCCTCCTTGACCTCCCAAAGGATTGGGGTTACAGGCCTAAGCCACAGCTCCCAGCTTCCCATTTCCTTGTTTTAAAACAATTGGTTCTAGTTTTCGGACCTATCCCGTGACCCCTCATCATCTCTCTTCCTTTCCCAAGTAGCTTTTGGATCTCTTGCAACCTTCCCTCTTTACTTTTCCCTTTTTATTTACTAATTATTTACTTAATCACCGTTGTCCCATCCAGTGATTAGTAAGGCTATTTTTATTTTCTCATTAAGTCCATTTTGAAGAGTGATTTATTCTGGGTAGCCATAAAGTACTGTCTTTTCCAGTGATTAATAGAAGTATTATATACATGAAAAAAGAAAGCTAAAAGATGTTTTGCATCGCTAATATTTACTGCCATTCTAAAATTAAAAAGCACAGAAGTTAATCTGTTTTCTTTGTTGCTAGGTAGTCCATCCTTTCTACGCTTATTGGCAGAGTTTCTGCACTCAAAAGAATTTTGCATGGAAGGAAGAGTATGATACACGACAAGCTTCAAACCGCTGGGAAAAACGAGCCATGGAAAAAGAAAACAAAAAGATTCGGGATAAAGCAAGGAAAGAGAAGAACGAGCTTGTCCGTCAGCTGGTAGCTTTCATTCGTAAAAGAGACAAAAGAGTGCAGGCGCATCGAAAACTTGTGGAAGAACAGAATGCAGAGAAGGCGAGGAAAGCTGAAGAGATGAGGCGGCAGCAGAAGCTAAAGCAGGCCAAGTGCGTAGCATGCGTGGGGTCCTCTTCTCAGTATCAGTGGGGTCAGAGGCAGTACCAGAGGTACCTGATGTCATGTTCATGTTGGGTTCTGTCAGGGTCAGTCATCAGCCTGGCTTCATCCTGCTTTTTCTTCTTTTTAAAATTGTGGCATTGGATAGTGTTTTTTCATTTACTGTATCAAAATTATTTGGGGGGGATGGATTCTTGCTCTGTCGCCCAAGCTGGAGTGCAGTGATGTGATCTTGGCTCTCTGTAGCTTCTGCCTCCCAGGTTCAAGTGACTCTCCTGTCTCAGCCTCCCAAGTAGCTGGGATTACAGGCATGTGCCACCACCCCCTGCTAATTTTTGTATTTTTAGTAATGATGAGGTTTCACCCTGTTGCCCAGGCTGGTCTCATACTCCTGGCCTCAAGTGATCTGCCCACCTCAGCCTCCCAAAGTGCTGGAATTACAGGCATGAGCCACTGTGGCTGGCCTAAAACTTTTTATTTGAATTGACATTTTTCTTCAGAGACTCTTTACATTTGAGAGATCCTTTAGACTCTTGTAAAATTTAATAATTTTAACTAATAACATTAATTGAATTCTTCCTCTGTGCAAATCCACATTCTAAGCAATGCTATGAGGTAACTTCTCTGATTTTATCCTCCTTGTTCTTTTGAGAAAACAAGGCAGACAGGCCTAAGATCACAGAGCCAGTAATTGATAGAGCCAGGAACTGGACCTGAGAATTCTGACTCTAGACTTCCCTGCTTTAGCTACCTTGCAGTACTGCATTTTAGTCAGTGTACTCTGAGATAATCAGTTCACTTTAGTTCCTCTAAAGTTGTGTTGTTAAAAGTTATTGTAAAAACATTGTGTCCAGAGCATTATAGCATTCTTTTAAAAATTATTCATTTCTTAAGAATTCTACTCATCCCACCCTCATCTTTTGAAAATTAACACTTTACCGACACAAATTAAAATCATCTGAAGACTTTTAATAAGTTGCTGAGTTACATGTTTCAAAACCTATTATCTACTACTGGAGCAATTAAAGTCAACCATGTAACAGGAAAACAGGTTTAAGTGGCTTTGCCTTGGTTTTAAGTTTGTAAGCCTCAATAAGCTTCGAGCAAGCTCTCTAGAGGGGATGGATTTTAAGCCTAAGTTGGAAGTGAAAACCATGTAGAGGCGTGCTTGTCTCTATGAGACTATGCTGTATGTGTGCAGACTGGCGGAGCAGTACAGAGAACAGAGCTGGATGACCATGGCCAATTTGGAGAAGGAGCTCCAGGAGATGGAGGCACGGTACGAGAAGGAGTTTGGAGATGGGTCGGATGAAAACGAAATGGAAGAACATGAACTCAAAGATAGGCGGGATGGTAATGTTCTCCATTTTTTAAGAGATTAAAAAAAAAAACAACTGAAACGTCGTTGTCCACAGTGGTGTACACTCAGGTGCCTGCCTGTGTAAGGCAACAGGGAACGGCAGTGCCGATGAAAACCTGAGTTCCAGTCAGCTGTCGCCAGGATTATGCCAAAGTTTTTATTTTTATTATATTTATTTTTTTTGTTTTTTAAGTGAAGTTGGAAATCTCCCCACTTATTTGACATCTACCAATTTTTAAATGTTTAAATAATTAAAAACAATGTTGTATGGGCCAAAGGTACTCTGTTGAGCTAGTCTAATTAAAGTAATTTTATTACCAAATTTTTTTTCTGACCACGTCCTAAACAATTTGTACTTCTAGCTGTGTAACGTGACAAATGGCCATGTTTACAAGTGTGACTATTAAAGAAAACTCAATTAAGCTATAGGTCAAGTTTTAATAGTAACTGTTTCTAGAAAAGCTGTATTGCATGGGAATCTATGTGTTGTGTATAAATTCTTCCTCTCCCTTCTGACTTCAAAGAGGGGCTCCTCTTGGTGTGCCAAAATGTTGTTTTCTCCGCTGCTGTCATTAGAGAACAGGTATTTGACTACCTGAAAAGGCAAAGATTAGGCATTTTTGAGAATAGCTGTATATCTGATTTTCCTCGCTGTCTTTAACTCTTTCGTGAGGAATAAAATTCACCCAATTTTACCTTATCTGCAAATGTGATTTTTCAGACTAGTAGCCCAAATGATAAAATGACAAACTTCATTCAAAATGACTATGAAAGGAAGTGTTTTATTAATGAATCAGAAGTAGTACTTCTGTAAGTACTTTGAAAATTATAAAGCACTCTATAAATGTGAGGTGGCCTAATTTACATAAAGTTTTACAATGTATAAAGTCCTTTCACATACAAGATCTCACTGAGTCCTCATGCAGTTTCCCTTACATGGAGGTTTTGCTCATGGAATTGTCTCTATTTTACCATTGTGGAAACTAGGACTCTGAGAAGCTGAGATGTGCCTGAGAACATGTGATCATTGTTAGATCCGGGTTTTTTGCTTCAAATCCAGTATTGTTAACTAATTAATTAAAATTTCATATATATTATATAATACTGTAATGGATAATTAACACCATATATTAAACAACACTAGATAGGATATAGTTTGATCATTTATGATTTGAATGAGAGTCCTTCAAAATCATACTGACATCACTTATGAAGAATGAACATGTAGAATATAGAAGATATACCTTGAGGTATTTATTGGTCCTATAATCCCAAGTGACAGTTTACCTGTTTGCTTCTTCAAAAATAGAATATGGATTTGTGAAAATAATTTCAGTTGAACTTTTTAGTCACTTTGTTTTTGTGGACTATACTGATAGTAATTACTCAGTTGTTAATAAAGCTAAAAGCTTATTATAAAAAAGTTTGTAATGTTAAACTTTGCATGTAATGTGTTAACTTATGACCTATCAGTCTTACTGTGATACGATGTTAAAAACTAAGTTTATTAAGTATTTCAGAGTCACAGTTGTAAATGTGTTTGGATCAAATCTTGTTCAAGAGGTAAACTAAGAAAAGACCTTTGTTGAAAAACTGCTTTGTGGTAGAACTATGAAAGTGGGATTAATTTGTTAAACTTAGCTCACATCCAAGACTTCAAGGATGTTTTAAATCTTCTTCTCAGTAGACTTATGAAAAGAACTTCAAAGGTAAGGTGCTTTATTTGGAAGCCTTTCCATATAGTATAGTGCTGCTTTTGAAAAGCCAACTCAAATCCTAATAGCATTATTTGTTTTTTTTTTGGTTTTTGGTAAAGAAAAAAATTTAAGTTCTAATTTGTGTGCAGCTTTAGATTCTTACCAAAGAGGAGAAATTTGTTAACATATTTTAGATTCGTGCTCTGATCTAACAGGGTTCTTACTACAGGCTTCTCTCTCACAGGTAAAGACAGTGATGAGGCCGAGGACACTGAGCTCTATGATGACCTCTACTGCCCAGCATGTGACAAATCATTCAAGACAGAAAAGGCGTAAGTTTATTTATTTAATTTAATTTTTTTGAGACAGGGTCTCTGTCACCCAGACTGGAGTGCAGTGGCACAATCATGGCTCACCACAGCCTTGACCTCTTGGACTCAGGTGATCCTCCTGCATCAGCCTCCTGAGTGGCTAGGGCTATAGGCACCCACCACCATGTCCAGCTAATTCTTGCATTAGGCTGGTGCAAAAGTAGCTGTATTTTTTGCCATTACTTTATGGTATGTATTTACTTTATGGCAAAAAATACAATTACTTTTGCACCAACCTAAATATTTTTTGTGGAGCTGGGGTTTCACCATGTTGCGCAGGTTGGTCTTGAACTCCTGGGCTCAAGCGCTCCACCTGCCACAACCTCCCAAAGTGCTAGGATTACAAGTGTGAGCCACTGCACCCAGTTAAAAGGAATGTTTAGTATCCTTGAACTTGTGTTTTCTTTTCTTTTTTTTTTTTTTTTGAGACAGAGTCTCACTCAGTCTCCAGGGTGGAGTACAGTGGCATCTCAGTTCACTGCAACCTCCGCCTCCTGGGTTTGAGCGATTTTCCTGCCTCTGGCTCCCGAGTGCATGCCCAGCTAATTTTTGCATTTTTAGTAAAGATAGGGTCTCACCATGTTGGCCAGGCTGATGCCAAACTTCTGGCCTCAGGTGATCCACCCGGCTCAGCCTCCCAAGTGTTGGGATTACAGGTGTAAGCCTTGGTTCCCACCTCTTGTGTTTTCTTTTGAGGTGAAGTATAACACTTTGAAAGTGCTAAAAACAATATGCTTGTAGCAGTTGATAACTAGCCCCACGTACTGTCTTGGGAGATTCCTTTCCAATAGGGGAGAAAGAGGTATTTGTACCTACAGTTAAACCTATTGTACTGATGCTCACCATCCCAGTATTCCTATATAAGAGCTGCTTTTAAAACATATGCACTGTCTTCAGAAATAAACATTGCTTGTTTTGGCAAAGAAGACATAGTCACATGGGCGAAAAGTCTAGACCATGTCTAATCATCTCTCTCCATTGTTGGTGTCAGACTTACTTCCTACCCTCATTGTCCCATGCAGGTTAATGCTGTCAATATAGGGGCTTTAAACTTGTCCTGCCCAAAGTTTCTTTGCTGAAGTGGAAGCACTTCATCTTAGGGGAACGATGACGAGAGAAGTATTAAAAAGGGTACCATTATTATAAAGGAGAGAGGAAAGAGCATGGGAGAAAATAAGAGTGGAATCAGCAAGGGAAAAGAAACAAAATGGGCATTAAGAGAGAAAGGAGGCCAAAGGATGAGAATGGGGATATGAGAGTTATACATGGTATTATCATATGACCTCAAGGAGAAATAATGGAGCAGTAAGGGAATTAGAAAGAGGAGAAAAATTAGAAACAAGCAAGAAAAAAGTCAGTGAAGAAGATTAAAATTTGTTTTATTTGGAAGTAATGACAGACTTAAAGGTAAGTTGCAAGAAGACAATATAGTGTGTCTGATTGACCTGTTACTAACGTTTTGCACCATTTGCATGTGCTCTTTCTCCACACTCACACACAGTTTTTGTTCTGAATAATTTGAAAGTAACTTACATATGTAGTGTTCCTTTACCTCTAAATACTTCACTATACCTTAAGAATAAGGTTATTATGTAACCACACTACAGCTACCAAATATAAAAAATTATTGATATGTTATTTTTGTCTAATTTACTTCCTATATTCCAATTTTGCCAATCAATTGTTTATCTTGAACTCCCAACCTCAGGTGATCCGCCTGCTTTGGCCTCCAAAGTGTTTGGATTACAGGCGTGAGCCACCACACCTGGCCCAGTTGTTTATTTATATAGAATTTTCTCCACTTCAATACAGAATCCAGTCTAGGATCATAATCTGGAACAGCTCGTATTGTCTTTTATGCTGTTTACATTTTATGCTTTAAAATACTTTCTTTCATAGAAGTCTTCTCATTCCTGGTTTGTCCATTCCTCATGATTAGATTCAGTTTATGCAGCCCCCAGGTGGGACGTTGTACAAGCATGTTGTGTTCTCATGGATTCATAGCTGGAGACAGGTAAAGTCCTCTGCCTCTCATTTGTGGTGATAATTTCATCACCCAATCACAGTGTCATCTAAATTTACAACTATAGAGTTAGTGTTTTTTCCCTTGCAACAAGTTTTTCCTTGCAACATGTTTAATCTGTGAGGAGACACTTTAAAACTATGCAGGTACCCTGCTTCTCATAGCTTTAGCATCTGTTGATGGTTTTAGTTTGCATCAGCTTTATTATGATGGTTGCAGAATGGTGCTTTTCCAGTGCCAGTGCCCCCTCCAGTGGCACTTGGCCTTCTGCTATGAACAGGAGTCTTCCCTTAAATTGCATTATCAATTGGAATTTATGAGTTTTAAAAAAATTTTATTTATTTATTTTGAGACAGAGTCTTGCTCTGTTGCCAGTCTTGAGTACAGTGGTGTGATCTTGGCTGACTGCAACCCCTGCCTCTGGGGCTCAAGTGATTCCCCTGCCTCAGCCTCCTGAGTAGCTGGGACTACAGGCATGTGCCACCACACCCAGCTAATGTTTTTGTGTTTTAGTAGAGACAGGGTTTCACCATCTTGGCCAGATGGTCTCGATTTCCTGACTTTGTGATCTGCCCTCGGCCTCCTAAAGTGCTGGGATTATAGGCGTGAGCCACTGCGCCTGTCATCAATGTTTTATAATTCATTACTCACCTTTTCCTGCTCAAAGTTTTCCAGATTTGGTTAGTGAGCATTTCTTCAAGCCAGTTCCTGTGTCCTTTTAACATGTTACCATAACTTTTTTGGAGGACTTTCTGTCGCAAGATCTTTTAGTATCTCCAGGGTAGCTTGGTCTGAAGGAGAATTTTAGTGGGAAAGAAAAATAGCAACCAAAACTATAATACCAAAAGCCTGAACAGATGAGATGAAGTAGATAGTTGACAAAGGTAACTACTTTTTAGTTGATCTAACTCTTGTAGCTTATGTCATCAGCTCTGTTTTGTGGGATGCTTTTTAGTTGCCTGTAGGTGTGCTGAGACAGACATTGCCAGTAGGGTTTTGAACCGAGGGGTTGAGATGTGTCTGAACTTATATTACGGTGGTGGGAGTGAGGAAGGTGACCTCTCCCGAGAAGGTGAAAAGGAGATAGTGAAAAAGTAAGAGCTGTAAACTGATCTTGTATTTCAAGCCCTCCCACCACCATTTCTCTAGTCTAGGGGGCTCTTCCTTTTAACATTCGAATGTGTGTCTTCTAATTTCCCAGTGATCCCTCCAAGTCTGTAGGATGGCCTGGCAAGTAAAAACACTAGCAAATACGGCCGGGTGCCATGGCTCAAGCCTGTAATCCCAGCACTTTGGGAGGCTGAGGCGGGTGGGTCACGAGGTCAGGAGATTGAGACCATCCTGGTCAACATGGTGAAACCCTGTCTCTACTAAAATTACAAAAAGCAAAAATTAGCTGGGCATGGTGGTGCGTGCCTGTAATCCCAGCTACTCAGGAGGCTGAGGCAGGAGAATTGCCTGAACCCAGGAGGCGGAGGTTGCGGTGAGCCGAGATCTTGTTACCCAGGCTGGAGCGCCATTGCACTGAAACATTCTCTTTCTCTGAAAGAGAGGAATCCTGAAACATTCTCTTTCTCTGTATAAAATCATGAACAAATAAAAACAAAAGAAAAAAATAAAATCATAAACATTTTGCTTAGTGGGAAAAAGCACATTTTATCTTAGTTGCAGTTATCCAGCAATGGTATCTGGACATGTGAACTAATTTTGGTGCAGCTGCTCACCTCAGATTGCTCTTTCAGCATGAAGAACCACGAGAAGTCAAAGAAGCATCGGGAAATGGTGGCCTTGCTAAAACAACAGCTGGAGGAGGAGGAAGAAAATTTTTCAAGACCTCAAATTGATGAAAATCCATTAGATGACAATTCTGAGGAAGAAATGGAGGATGCACCAAAACAAAGGTACTTCTAAATATTAAATGTCACTTAAAATACTTATCACATTCAGAGATTGCATTTAAAGTTTTTTTTTTTTCTTTTGAGATGGAGTCTCGCTCTGTCGCCCAAGCTGGAGTGCAGTGGTATGACTCCGGGGTTCAAGCGATTGTCTTGACTCAGCCTCCCAAGTAGCTGGGACTTCAGGCACACACCACCACATCCAGCTAATTTTTGTATTTTCAGTAGAGACAGGGTTTCACCATGTTGGCCAGGATGGTCTTGAACTCCTGACCTCAGGTGATCCACCTGCCTTGGCCTCCCAGAGTGCTGGGATTACAGGAATGAGCCACCGCACCCGGCCTTAAAGGCTGTTTTATCTATCCCAAGGAAGTTATTCTGTTATGTTAATGTCGCCTCCGTATTTTCTAGTTAATGGAACTTTGTAGTGTTGAAGTGGATACAGACCTAATATCAACTATTATATTTATAGAACTTAATATATTAAAAGAAGTTTTTATATCTGGCAATTGATATGCTGATTACTATCCATTGAATTACAGCCTTATGTTATTCTTTAAAATGACAATGTGAATATTTTCCTTTTAATGCTTTGTGATATTAAATATTTTTAATCTTCTATTTTACTGCTTTATCACTAGTGTTTCAACTTTTTTTTTCCACTTAATCTTTACAGAGTCAAGTATTTGACATTTTGATTTATATTTGCTCTTAGGCTTTCTAAGAAACAGAAGAAAAAGAAACAGAAACCGGCACAGGTATGTTCAAAAGGCAACTATGAAGTTGCAGTGCTCTTCTCTTACTGATTCGGTGTAGTCTGTATTAAGGAGAGAGACTTATATTCCATAATTTTTTTTTCTTTTTTTTTAATTTTTTATTGGATTTTAGGTTTTGGGGTACATGAGCAGAGCATGTAAGACAGTTGCATAGGAACACACATGGCAGTGTGCTTTTCTTTCCTTCTCCCCTTCACCCATATTCCATAATTTTATGTTGATTGTAAGATTGATAAAAAGGAATTGGAAATATTTTCCATTTTCCATCTCCCCTTTTATGTATGTAATAACTAACTTGATTATGACTGCCAGTGTGTTTAACAACTGTGCATGTAGAATTCTCCTGGGATGAATTAACTGAATTTTCAATATTTTAAAATGTATTCAGAAATACATCTCACAAAAGGGCTTTTAAATCAAGACAACAATTAAAATCTGGAAATAGGAAAATCTGGAGGTTGGTCATTGTTTAAATTTATTCTGCCAACAACATAAACATTGCAAAAGGAACATTTGGTTAGAAACTTGTAATGATTGTGATTCCTGAAAACAAATTTCTATTTTTCATAAGTTTAAGTAATTTAAACATTTCACAGCTCACATCAAAATTCATTATCTGTTTTAAGGACTATTTTTAAATAAAATGGTATATTTTTGCATCTGTAAAAACTGAATTTGTCCATTTTACCTAGGATATTTGGTTTGATGCCATTTTAGTATAATCTAGTTATAGTAACTTACGTTAAGTATTAAATTTATTTATTTATTTATTTTTTGAGACAGAGTTTTGCTCTTGTTGCCCAGGCTGGAGTGCAGTGATGCAAGTGTTAAATACTTTTAAGAAAACTTAATGTATTAATAACTTTTAATAAAACTTTAGATTTGGCTTATTAATCCAAATGGTTATAATAATATATTTGATAGTCTTTTTAAAATCAGTTTCCTATTCCAAAAATGATACATGACACATGAGTTAATCACTTAAAATTGTAATTTGGAACTCTTCGCTTCAGTTATAAAACTGCATAGCAAATATGTGTTCCTTTTATAAGTTGATTTCTACCATCATCCATCCAAACACCTTATAATCATTGGTTTAACACTTCCTCTTTCCTTCGTGTATGTCACCACTACTACAGTAAAGACAAAACAAATGGAGAGAGATTTATGTTTAACCTGAGCCTGTGTTACTATGGAGGATAGATTTTATTGATTGCAAACATAAACACATATATTAATGTTTTCTTACTCATGAAAATGCTTCAAGTGACCACCCCATTGTTTCTCTTAAAAGCTACATTCCTTTATAGCACCTCTTTTTTATCATTCCTGACCTAGCTTTATGGAGCACTTTTCCTGATATTTTCTAAGCTCTTTTTGAAGGGAAGGCAGTGTGGAGACATGTACTGATTTAAGAGCAGACAACAGCAGATACTGAGTGTTTTGAAACTTCAGACTGGGAAAGTTTTCTATATGGCCAGAAAAGTTGCATAAACCAACAAGGATTGTACAAGAAAACCCTCCCAAATTAAAACTGAATATAAAAAGAAACAAATAACCCTGACTGACAGGAAAGAAAATTTAATTCAAGTAACTCAAACACAATGTTCTGACTGAATATCTTCCATGGAATATAGTTGAAGGATAAAATTAACTGCGAAAAAAGTAAATCTTGGACTTAGTATGTTTTTTGGTGGTATTGGTATGCTATTTTTGAAGTAAATGAATAATATTTTCACCAATTTCCTAGGAGGTGTTGTCACTCTATTGAATTTTTTTTTTTGATGTGCAGAAATTTTGAAGTATCATGCAGTTAAATTTTTCTGTTTTTTGTTGATCGTGTGTTCAATGTTGTAGCTAAGAAAATGGTGCCAAGAACCATGGCATTTCTTTCCCCTATATTTTTTCTAAGAGATTTGTTACATTTTTTATATATGGTTCAAGGAAAGGATCCAGTTTTATCAATGTAGACATGCACTTTTCACCACGATTTTTTGAAGAGATTATCTTTTCTCTATTGTGTGCTCATGGCAACTTTGTGGAAGATCATTTAATCATATACAGAAGAGTTAATTGCTGTTCTCTCTATTCTGTTCTATTACCTGTTTATCTATCTTTGTGTCAGTACCACATTATTTTTGTTATAGCTTTTAATATGTTTTGAAATCAGGAAGTAAAATGCTTCCTCTTTTTTACAAATGTTTGGCTGGTTATGGTTTATAATCAAATTAAAAAATTTTTAACAATATTTCTGTTAAAAAAAACCTGTCCTATTGGGATTTTTATAAAAATTATATTGAATTTGTTCACACTGTAGGTTGTATTGACATCTTAACAAAATTAAATTATTTGACCCTTGACCAAAAAAAAGGAATTAAGTGAGTAAATTGTTACTGGGAACCAGATTCTTTTTTTGTGGGAAGAGGGAAATACAAATATAAATTGAGAGGAAGAATACTGTGGAGTTGGATTGAAGTGGAGATGTTGGTATGAGCTCATGATTTAAAGAAAATAAGTGTGTGAGTAGTGTGCTTTGTGAGGACCTAGAAGCAGTGACACCCCTGGCAGTGAGCATACCTAGTGCACATGTATTGGTTTTTAAGTTCCCTTTCCCATGAAAAGGAAATAGGTTCGCTCTTTGGAGAAGTAGCTGATTTCAGGGTTGAGACTAGGAAAGTGGAAGGTGAGCCTCGAGCATCTTATACTAGAAACTAAGGAAGTGCTCCAAAACTGATGGGGATATGTTAAAAGTACTCAAAATCCAGCTTGCATGCCTGCCAATTTGGGAAAATTTGAGTCATCAAAAGGAGTAAGTGTAATAAATCTTCATACATTGGGTTTGTTTAAAATACATTTGTGTATCTATATTGACTTCAAAAAGAGTGAGAGTTGGCCAGGCGTAGAGGCTCACGCCTATAATCCCAGCACTTTGGAAGGCCAAGGTGGGTGGATCACAAGGTCAGGAGTTCGAGACCAGCTTGGCCAACATGGTGAAACCCCGTCTCTACTAAAAATATAAAAATTAGCCAGGTGTGGTCGCTCACCTGTAATCTCAGGTACTAGGGAGCCTGAGGCAGGAGAATCATTGGAACTCAGGAGGCGGAGGTTGTAGTGAGCCGAGATCGTGCCATTGCACTCCAGCCTGGGTGACAGAACAAGACCCTCAAAAAAAAAAAGTGAGAGTTGGAGAAAGGAGATGGGACAGCTTTATTATTACAGAAGAATATGAATCAGTACAAGTGCAAATGACACAAGTAATAGAGAAAATCACTCTTTTACATCCACCAGTATATAAATGTTCCCAGCAAGAATCATCAGTAGATTCCAAGTACACCCAGTAAATGGTTACTGGGGACAGGATATTCAGACAGTCTCAGAGTCATACTCTGAAGATTACTTATTCATTTTAAAAGGGAAAATATACTTTACAGTTGAAAAATCGGGCAATACCACTCTAACCAAATGATCAAACTTAATAATATCACTGAAAAATGGGACAAACTGGCATTTTGCCTCCCAGGATTATTTTTGTAGTATTATGCTAGAAATGTTTAACCTGAATCTGATCATTTGGAAATAACCAAAGCAAGCCAAATTATGGGACATTCTACGAAATGTCAGATAGCATCATGAAAGACGAAACAAAAATGTGGGAGAACTGTTCTAGAATAAAGGAGATTAAAGATACCTGACAACTAAATACAACATGTGATTTCTGATTATACCCCCTATCCGCATGTTCCTATACAGGAAAAGGAATAATTGGTAAATTTGAATGTGAGTTGTGTAACAGATAGTATCAGCATTAGATTCTTGAGTGTGAGTATTGTGGACCTGCCAAAGAATGTTTTGATTCTTAGGATGTACCTGGCAAAGATTCATATCTGCCTGCAGCTCACTTTCAGATGGCTTGGGGGGAAAGTGTGTGTTGAGAAAGAGAAGAAGGGGAGAGAGCGAGCACAAATGTGGCAAAATGTTGCTCGAAAACAGATGGGTGAACTTAGTGAGGATAGGTGCACCCATCTGTTTTGGATGCTGGCCTCTTTCTTTTATAATGCATGTTTGTTGTTGTGGTTTGTGACTATAGAAAAATAGTTGCTCATTGCTTATCATCTGGAAAATATGAAAAACTATCATTCTTAATTTTTTCTGTAGAGATTCTTAATAATGAATTAAATTGTGATTACACTGTAGGTATATTTTTCTCTCTTCTACTTTTGCTAATATGTTGTATTCTTTTACATAATTGCATATATTCGGAAACATGATACCTAGGCACTTCAGAATTTTTCTTCATATATTTAACCATTCACTTTTTGAACATTTGCATTGTTTCCAGATTTCCCCTAATTTCACATCTCTGTAATGAACAACCATGTTCTCAACTTACCTGTTTCTCCTTTTTATTTCCTGAAGATATATAACTATTTGGCAACATAACATAAAAAGCTAGTAGTAGTATTATATTTATTTTGTAATGGTACATGTTTTATTACCTAGAATTATGATGTCAATTTCAATGTAAATGGAACTGGAGAAGGAGTAAAGGTTGATCCAGAAGATACTAACTTAAATCAAGACAGTGCCAAAGAATTGGAAGATAGTCCCCAGGAAAATGTCAGTGTCACAGAGATCATTAAACCATGTGATGATCCAAAAAGTCAAGCTAAAAGGTAAGTCAGAGTTGCATATTATTTGTAAATGACTGAATATTGATAGTAAGGATATATAAGGATTCATATATCAAATAAAATCTCCTTTCCCATTACTGACCAAGTAATTTAGAGTTATCTGTACATATTTACAGACATATAGATACACACACACACGTATATCAGATGAAGAGCATTGAGAAGAGAATGCTAGAAGAATGTGCCCACACACATCTCAGCAACATGGCCAAAATCAGAAAGAAGGCACTTTGATCCAGTTCTTCTTTCTCTTATCCTGTGCAGTGGCTCTGATTTTGTCCTGGATCATTAACCCTTGACACTCACATGGGAACAAGACTCCTGCTGAGTTCCTGGAGTGTCACTAACCAAATCTCCATGCTCATGACAGCAGCCTTTGTTGGTTCCCACCACTGGAGCAGTGTTGATACTGGCCATCTAGTGAAAAGTGTTTTATTTAAATGTGTGTGTGTGTGTGTGTGTGTGTGTGTGTAGTATAGTAGTAGTAGTACTACTATAGTATAAATAGTATAAAAAAAAAAACACTTTTATTTTTATTAAAAAATAAAAGTCTTAGATATCAGCTTCAGAGATGTAACTGTCTTTCATAATATAAGTGATGTTCACCAGGAATATTATACTAAATTTGTTAGACATATTTGTGGAATATCTGTGATGGCAGTTTGAAAATTAGTATGTGTTATTTATTGCCTTTTATGCCATTATTTCCTTTTCTTGATGTTTTCAAAGCTGGCAAGTCCTACACAATGATATGTTACACTCCTAACCTGCATCTTTTAAATACGTGGGACATTTAACTTAATACAGACCCTTGGCCTCTGCTTGAAGAATAGTATACTTATAAAGTAGAAGCATTATCATAACTTATTCATTATAACCCATCCTGTCTGTTCTGTACAATATAGCTCCCAGATTTTTACCCTGCAAATTTGGTTAGCACAAATGAGGGAAATTATGAATGCCTAAGGAAAATTGAAATTCATGTAGGAGATGAGTAGAGGAATATTCAGGAGTTCAAGCAGAATTAAGAGTAACCCAACTATACTGCTGGCAGTTTCTGATCTAAATGGTACGGTGGGGAAAAACCCACCAGATCAACAGAAAAGACGTAAGTTTTTAAGAAAAGTAAATTCCTTACATTGAACCAATTTAATTTTATGAAAAGTGCATTACAAAGCCTTTATTTCACTTATTTCTCTATGGGACTGTTGAAATGTTTGTCAGACTGGATTTCTTTCAAAAAGTTAATGTTAGGCTGGGTGCGGTGGCTCACACCTGTAATCCATCACTTTGGGAGGCCGAGGGGGACAGATCACGAGGTCAGAAGTTCAAGACCAGCTGGCCAATATGGTGAAACCCCGTCTTTACTAAAGAATACAAAAATTAGCCTGAGTGTGGTGATGCGCGCCTCTCCTGGCGACTCAGGAGGCTGAGGCAGGAGAATCACTTGAACATGAGAGGTGGAGGTTGCTGTGAGTGAAGATCGTGCTACTGCATTCCAGCCTGGGCAAGAGTGAGACTCCATCTCAAAAAAAAAAAAGTTAATGTTTTTGGGGAACCATACTTCATGACAAGATTATTTATGATTACTATTGGTTGGTTATAAGATGGTTTGCTTTGTTCGTTAGTACTTTACTTTTTTTTTTTGGAAACAGAGCCTTGCTCTGTCGCCCAGGCTAGAATGCAGTGGTGCAATCTTGGCTCACTGCAGTCTCTACCTCCTGGGTTCAAGTGATTCTCTTGCCTCCACCTCCTCAGTAACTGGGATTACAAGGGCCTGCCACCACACCCAGCTAATTTTTTGTATTTTTATTAGAGATGGGGGTTTTACCATGTTGGCCAAGGTGATTTCAAGCTCCTGACCTCCGGTGATCCCACCTCAGCCTCCCAAAGTGCTGGGATTATAGGTGTGAGCCACCACATGCAGTAGTGCTTTGCTTTTTATGGAAACACTGTATACAACATTCAGAGATATTTTAAGCGCCTTGTTTTCACTTTGTTTCAGCTGTTTTAAGTAAATTCCTTAATTTTTGTGCCAAATTTGATATTTGAATTTTGAAGTTGCTTTTTTTTTTTTTTTTAATGAATGAATTTTTTTTGCATTTTATTTTTTTTTATTTTTTTTATTTTTTGATTTTTATTGGATTATAGGTTTTGGGGTACATGAGCAGAGCATGCAAGACAGTTGCGTAGGTACACACATGGCAGTGTGCTTTGCTTTTCTTCTCCCCTTCACCCACATTTGGCATTTCTCCCCAGGCTATCCCTCCCCCCCTCCCCCTCCCACTGGCCCTCCCCTTTTCCCCCCAATAGACCCCAGTGTTTAGTACTCCCCTTTCTGTGTCCATGTGTTCTCATTTTTCATCACCCACCTATGAGTGAGAATATGCGGTGTTTCATTTTCTGTTCTTGTGTCAGTTTGCTGAGGATGATGTTTTCCAGATTCATCCATGTCCCTACAAACGACACGAACTCATCATTTCTGATTGCTGCATAATATTCCATGGTGTATATGTGCCACATTTTTCCAATCCAGTCTATTATCAATGGGCATTTGGGTTGATTCCAGGTCTTTGCTATTGTAAACAGTGCTGCAATGAACATTCGTGTACATGTGTCCTTATAGTAGAACGATTTATAGTCTTTTGGATATATACCCAGTAATGGGATTGCTGGGTCAAATGGAATTTCTATTTCTAAGGCCTTGAGGAATCGCCACACTGTCTTCCACAATGGTTGAACTAATTTACACTCCCACCAACAGTGTAAAAGTGTTCCTTTTTCTCCACATCCTCTCCAGCATCTGTTGTCTCCAAATTTTTTAATGATCGCCATTCTAACTGGCGTGAGATGGTATCTCAATGTGGTTTTGATTTGCATCTCTCTGATGATCAGTGACGATGAGCATTTTTTCATATGATTGTTGGCCTCATATATGTCTTCTTTCATAAAGTATCTGTTCATATCCTTTGCCCACTTTTGAATGGGCTTGTTTGTTTTTTTCCTGTAAATCTGCTTGAGTTGTTTGTAAATTCTGGATATCAGCCCTTTGTCATGAAGTTGCTTTTTAAAGTTCATTTGAGATGTAAAGATTAATTAAATTGTCTTTAAAATTAATGAACTGGGAGCTGCAGTGGCTCAGGCCAGGTGTCCTAGCACTTGAGGAGGCGAGGCTATGCGTTTGAGGCCAGACTGGGCAACATAAGGACCTCTCATTCATTTAAAAAAAAAAAAAATTAATGAATTAACCTTTAAAGTGCATCTCACTCTTTTGAGTGTTCTTGAGAGCACTCAAATGGTGATTAAAAGGAGTATGTTATTTTTGGATTATGCCAAATTATTTATCTTCCAGTGTTCCCAAACCCAAAGGAAAGAAAACCAAAGATACGAAGAAACCTGTCAAAGTACCTGCTGAACCACAAACAATGGTAGGTCAAAATTATATTTATATCTCTTTAGCAGATCTTGCTATTTAAGCTGTATAATGATCTAAAGATGTAAATGGCGAGCCATTCCCCAAAGAACCTGCAAAGATGTGGATCTGTCAACAGTTTTGCTTGATAAAGGTAGGATTTGTGTATATAATTTATTTTTTTACATTAAATTAAAAAGATGTACATTGGAAATGCTAGATGGTACTTAGAATAGTTACTATTATTTTCCATTACTTTTCAATCTAAAGCCTTGGTGATAAGAATTACATGTCAAGTTCTGGAGATTAATTGTGAAGCATAAACTCTTCCTCTGTTCTACTAGACCATGAGGTACATGCTATTGAAAGCCTCAGGACCCTTGAAGTTAATTGTGTTAGTGGGATTTAACCTCCAAGAACATCTGCCTTTGTTGAACCTCTTTATTAGCTGTCCATTCTGTTAAAACATCTTTATTTTACAATTGTTTGATGCTTTATCTTGACATTAAAACCTAAAACACTAGTTTCAAGTGATAACACTTGCTTTTATTTATGATTTTTTGCCCTTCTCAGAGTGATGTTCTTATCAACTGTACAACCTGCCATAGTGAATTTCCATCTCGGAATAAACTTTTTGACCATCTGAAGGCTACAGGTCATGCAAGAGCCCCTTCATCATCATCTTTAAACAGTGCAACAAGTAGTCGAAGCAAGAAAGAGAAACGTAAAAACAGATAGAGATTCTGCCTATGCTTTTGTTTGACTGTCTCTAGTTTTGAAACCAAAAAACTGAACTGAAATCATCTAAAGAGTTAAAATTTCAGTGATCTGCAATTAATTGCATTGTGGAAGATTATTTTTATCTTATAAAAACTTTTTTGTTCAATATATATATATTTTAAATATTTCACTAGTGATTGAATTCTACTTTTGCCATCTGAATTGACTTGAATGTCTTAAAACAGGTAAATACTGTAAAGTGTGTATTCTTGATGTTTGTTGGCTCCTGTGGATAGAAATATACAGGGAGAATTACATTATTTTAACACATAGAAGTGCTCCTTTCTGCTTTATTTTGTGAATTTTACATTATTGTTATTTATTTAATGCTTTTATGTTTTGTTAATGCTTTATAATATGTCAAAAAAAACTTGCATCTTTTAAAAAGCATCATAGATCATTTTTCCACCTGACATCATGACACTGGCTCTGATTTTTAAAATTATTTTTAAATAACTGATTATTGATTAATGTATTTTTTTCCTCAAGAACAGTGATAGAAACTAATTGAACATTTGTGGTTGTCTTTCAAGAATAGTATCTCTTCAATATTTTACTATGTTGATTTAATTTGATATTTTACTGGTTTACCAGCAAGGTATATTGTTCAGTTTTTTGCTCCTATTTAAATTGTGGAGGTGAAAGCAAATTAGTTCACATGGCACGTCCTCCCTAGGCACAGTGACAGCTATAAAGTAGGATGGAACAAGGTAGCAGATGGTACAGAATTTATACTATTTAACAAGAGATGTGTTTATTCTTCATTGGGTTTTTTCTTCACTATTTTCAGAAGTTTTTTTTTTCTATCACTCAATGGAGAAAAATTTTATTAATAATGAAAGATTTTGTGATAGAGCTGATGCTTATACCATCTATTTTATAGCAATGATGAATATTAACACAAAAGAAATATAGAGAACTGTTATAACTGAGAGTGATGAGTTGATCATTGATTAGTGATGAGTCCATTTTTAGGATGTTTTAGTCAGTTCTTTTAATTGGTCTTGAAAGTAATTTTAAACTAACTGACTTGAAATGTATACTTTCTGTACAGTAAAGTTAGTGCTTTCCATATATCCTTGAATCTTCAGATGAATGATATGAATGAATTTTCAGTTATAGATCAGCTCTAAAACACTCGAGTCCCTAAAGGCAAGACCTTTTCTGATAGCTTCATGGATAGTATTGATGATTGGGCTTCTTCTATGTTACTGACTTAAAAAAAAGTATTTGAACCTTAAATTTTTTTCTTTTCCATTTTGAGATATATTTTTTACTTTACTTTCATACCTTTCTATTTCTTGCTAATTTCTATCACTAATTCCTCATAACTGTCCCTGCTCCCCTTCTTGATCTCTTTAGGGAGAATACTAGCTAGCTTTGTATCTTCTGATCTCTCATCCGGAGACTTCATCTGAATCTGCTGTACCTTCTTATCTAAACTAGATGAATTGGCCATAATTATGAATAGGAATAGTAATGAACCAGAGGACATACTAGTCACATGTTATTATACAGTAAAAAATATGAAGTCATCTTGAAAGGCAAATAATGTATTGCAGATGTCCCTTACGACTTCTTTGCTTTCTCTTGTACCGAACATGCAGGTATTTCATTTGTTTCCTGAGCATTGATTGGAGTTACTTGTCACTTTTATTCAGATCAACAAAAACCAACCATAATTTTCAAGGGATCTTCATGGTTGTGACTGGAAGCTGACCTGAATCTTGTGTTTCATCCTTTGTGATGTCAAAAAATCATCTAGTTTCTCAGAACTTTTTCTTGTCTCTAACACAGTTCTTAGCATTATAATATTGTCTCCATTCATCATCCATTGATCATAGGATCATTATGAAGGTCAAATAAAATAGTATATATGAAAATGCTTTTTAAACACAAAAGCTTTATACAAAATATTGTTGAATTTAAATAAGGTAAATCTTTTTTAGTTTATATATTTGCAGACTAAAGTGTAGATGTTGGATTAAATGGGCAATTAAGTTTTACAGGAATTTACTTCCTAAGTCTATATCTGAAGAGGAACATACCATATATTATACTAAGGGTAAAATATTTTTGGTGAATTGCAGACATTTAATTTCACTTGTCTGAGGCAAAACAATCAAATACCTGGGCATGCATTTTACATTGATCTCATTAGAGGTCAGTGCTAAGTATCTATCTTGATTGGAGTTAGCTCCAATGTGGAGATTCATAGAATGAGGGTTCCAGGAGATGGTTAGGGAAATCCCATTTTCTTTCTGTAATTCATTAAATGGTGCCAAAGCTGGGGGTTCCCTATAAAGCCCATTTGGACTTTTCTCTGCTTCAAAATAAGAGCAGGATCATTAGCTCTAGCCAAGCATTTTTCTAATTCCTGCCTTTGGCCACAAAGAAGAAAAAGCAGATCTGTGAATGAATTAGTGGAAGGTCAGTCACATCAGAGCTCATGTCCTAGTAACTGCTGGTGAGGTAATATTGGTATTTTGGTACCATGAGAAGACATATGAAGAACTTCATCAGAAGTTTTAATTTTCTCTAAGTTTTCCCCTACAAAATTTTCCAAATTGGAAACTACTCTTGTAGAAGATTATCTGTAAAATTGTGGTTTAACTCATGCAGAAAATTCTTATAGCAAGGCATAGTTTCATTTTAGCATACTCCCAAAAGCCCATGAATACTCTGTGTAACCTTCAACATAAAATAATGAAGAGAACTTTTAGACTCTTATGAATTCCTAAAATTACTATTTATGTGGTGGAAGTTCTGTTTCCTATAACCTGCAATGCTGAAGTATCACTATTCAATTCCCATTCCTTATCTGTTAAGTTTAATGCCTTTATACTAAAATTATAGACTCTTGGGATTGGAGAGGAAAATAGAGGTGATTTTCAAATTTCTTGTTCCATGGAAGAGGAAGCTGAGCTCAGGGATATATGAGCTTTACAGCCACAAGTGGTTAGAGGCTGCTGCCATTAAAACAAGGCAGATGCCTGGACTCCCAACTCAGTAGGCCTTCTCTTACACCCCAAAATGTGTTACAGGGGAGAAAAAGATTACTTTTAAGAAAAAGCAAGATAATTTTGAAGAAGGGCAAGAGGGAGAGGCATGAACTTGTCCTAACAATATCAAAGAATATTTTATATGTATACCAGTTAAAGCAGTGTCTGGCTGTTGCCAGTAGAGGTCAGTCAAGGAATCCCTGATAAGAATAAAGAGCCCAGAAACAGGTCCATGTTTATATGGGAACTTGATTTTTGACAGATGGGGCAAGCTCTGTGGGGAAAACAATATGTACTACCTTCTACCCTTCCCCAAAAACAAATGGTTTAAAGACCTAAGTATGAAAAGCAAAACTTTTAAATAAGAATCTATAAGGTTATTTTTGATTTTGCAAATGGGAAGGATTTTTTAAAAACAAGATGCAAAAGCACACAGGAAAAAAGGACTGCGTAAAAAAGGCTTCTATAGAACAATAGACACTGTAAATAAAAGAACAAGCTACAGACAGGAAGGAAATGTTTGCACTTCATTTAACTGACAAAGGATTTGTATCTGGAATACATTAAAAAAATGAAAGAAACTCATACAAAAGCCACTGAGAAAATGACAACCATGCATTAGAACAACAATTCTCAAAACTTATGGTCTCAAGATTCCTTTACACTCTTCAAAAGTGAGAACTCCAAAGTGTTTTTGTGTATGTGGGTTAAATCTATTGATATTTTCTGTTAGAATTCAAAAATTAGTTATTAAAAAATAAGAAAAATGACTAGTTTTCAAAGCAAAAGCTTAATGAGAAGAGTGGCATTGTTTTACATTTTTACAAATCTCTTTAACGTTTAGCTTAATAAAAGATAGCTGGCCTCTCATACCTGTTTCTGCAATCTGTCTACTGCTGTGTGTTTCGGTTGAAGTATGTGAAGGAGAAAATCAGCCTTACATGGATAGGTAATTGTAAAAAAAAAAAAAAAGGGACCTTGCATACCCACTGAATGGGTCTCAGGGAATCCCTAGGGTACTTGGACCACACTTAGGACTGCTGCGTTAGAAAAATGGATAAACTTTATGAACAGAAAAAGCCTGAATAGTCAAAAAAGTGGAAAGATTATTACTGCCTGATAATAAGTGAAATGGGACCTAATGTTTTCATGCTTTCAGATTAGCAAAAGTTAAAAAGTCACAAGATCTAGTGTTGGTGAGAATGGAGCAGTGGGAACAAACTCACTTCTTTTGGAGTAAAAGGTTCAATTTGATGATGTCTAAGAAAGCTGAAGTTGGCATATTCTGTGACCCAACAATTCTAGGTATACACTTAGAGTCTTACTTCTCAAAGTGTGGGCCACAGAGCAGCGATATGGGCTTCACCTGGGAAGTTGGCACCTCTCAGCTCCTGACCTGGAGTTGCTGCATCAGACTCTGTGGTTAAGATTTCTTAGGTGACTCATGCTCGTGAAAGCGTGAGAAGCAATCCTCTAGAGAAACCATGCACAAGTGTACAAGGAGATGTACAAGAAGGCTCACAGCTGAATTGTTTGTATCCAGGAAAAGTTGGAAATAACCTAAATGTTCATGAGCAAGAAAATGGATAAATAAATTGTGGCCTATTATAGATGGTAGACAGTTGGAGCAGTTAAAAGGAATGAACTTGATCTGTAATGTGGATGGCCCTTGAAAAAATAATGAATGAAAATGGCTGTCACAGAAGGTGAAATGCATGTCTTTTATACTGTTTAAAAAAACACTATGTGGATTGTTAGTTTTAGAAAGAAGATATAGAAACATGAGAAAGCAGTTGCCCTGAACTCAGAAGAGTAGAACTGCTCGTGGCTGCAAAAGGGCTCTCTTCTGTGTCATTTTTTTTCCCCCTAAAGATCAGAAGGAAGATGTAAACATTTATTAAATTCTGGTTGGTGGGTCCATGGGGATTTGTTACTCTGATTCTCACAAATACTTCAACTTCAAGAAAAGTACAGATGAATGTCCCACTTTGCTAGCAGAATATATACACCTGCATGAAAGGGAGAGATGAAAGGATTTAAGTTCTACTTATTCCTGGCACACTCCTTAAGTACACTGTGGCAGAAGCTATTGTCTCTCAATATTCATTCTCCTTTTTAGAACTCTGATTTTCAGGTAAGTGCAAGGCCACCCAGAATATAAGGATTAGTTTCCCAGCCTCCCTTGCAATCAGATCTGACCTGTGACTGGAGCAATGTTTGGGACATGTCCTTAAAAATATGGACATGTCCTTATTCCTTACTTCTGCCAGCTAAAATGAAGAGGTAATGGCTGGACCTCTGGACCCTATCTGGGATCATGAAGCCACAGAGGGCAAAGCAACAAAAGCATAGGAGCTTCTACCCTTGACACTTCAGAGGGACCCTAGGAGCCCCGCAACTGTACCTCTGCACTGGAGAGAAGAAAACTACGTTTCTGAAGCCACTGCTGTTTTGACCTGTCACAGATAACAAATCCTGATTCATTCATGTTTCCACATGTGTACAGTTACCTAAATGAGAGGTCTAGGGTCAAGGGCATATGGGCGTTTAACTCTCAGATCTTACATTGAATTCCAGTCTTGTGTTAACATGGTTTTAAGCAAGTCATTTAAACTCTTAAAACGATTTAAAAAAAAACTAAAAATAAGTGAGACCAATCTGGCAGAATTGTGAAGATTAGAGTCTTAAATGTGCACACAGTGCTTGGCACATAGTAGGCATTCAATAATTGTTAGCTTTCATTTACTTAAAAAATCTCACAGTATTCTTGCTTCATTTAACTGTTCACTTTGTTTTCTGAAAGAATCCCAACAATGAAGTAATCTGGTGAGGAATCAGTGATTAAATTGATCCTGTACTGTTTTTTTTTTTGAGACAGGGCTGACTGTTGCCCAGATTGGAGTGCAGTGGCATGATCTGGGCTTACTGAAACCTCTACCTCCCAGGTTCAAGTAATACTCCTGCCTCAATCTCTCAAGTAGGTGGGAGTATAGGCATGCACCACCATGCCAGCTAATCTTTGTATTTTTAGTAGAGACAGGTTTCCACCATGTTGGCCAGGCTGGTCTGGAATTCCTGGCCTCAAGTGATCCATCTGCCTTGGCCTCCCAAAGGCCTGAGCCACTGTGCCTGGCTTGTACTGTATTTTTTAAAAGACACTGTTGCATATATGAAATTCTTTCTGGCTCAAATGGAAGAAAATTTTTAAAGGCTAAAGTTAGAAGCTGTCTTGAGGATCAGTGATCCTTAATTATGTTAGAAGGCTCAGTACATTTTTACAGATAATTACTTTGCCATTAAAACTAGTTAGAGGGCCCCACATCAGTGATGTCCTTTTAGATACCAAGTGCCATCTGATAATAGAAAAGGCTCGAATTATTTTTTGCACTGCAAATCATTTGAATGTTACTTAGGGAAAATGTCTTTTCTAATGATTTCTGAAAATGAAAAGGTCACAGAAATGCAGCATTTAGAGAAAGTGGTATATAGTTTACAGATCTCTTCAGATGCTTGTTTTCAAACAAAGAACTCATACTTTTGTGAATCCAAAGGTTACAATTGTCTCAGCTTATTGTGAAGCAGAATTCCCAACAGTTCCATCCAAAAATGGAATTGGTATCAGCATTGGTGAGCTCTCTGTACCAGTGAGTGTACAGTCAGAGACTGGCCAGTCCTGTTACACTGTAGAAGGATGTAACAGCAGCTGCCATGGCCAGTAGATGGTCCTTCTGCACTTCCAGAGGCCCATGAGTTTGATGATGAGGCAGCAGATTTGAAATCTTTCTACTGTTTTTTGGAGACAAGGTCTCACTCTGTTATCCAGGCTGGAGTGCAGTGGTGTGATCTTGGCTCATTGCATCCTCTACTCGGGTTCAGATGATTCTCAACCTCAGCCTCCTGAGTAGCTGGGATTACAGGTGCATGCCACCACACCTGGCTAGAGTTTTTTTTTTTTTTGTATTTTTTGGTAGAGACAATTTCACCATGTTGGCCAGGCTGGTCTCGAACTCCTGATGTCAAGTGATCCACCCACCTTAGCCTCCCAAAGTGCTAAGATTACAGGTGTGAGCCACTGCTCCTGGTCCTTTCCTACTTTTTTGATGTAGGCTTTTATTACTGTACAACTTCCCTCTTAGCACTGCTTTTGATATATCCCATAGGTTTTGGTATTTTGCATTTCCATTTTCATTTATTGCAATAATTTTTTAAAAATTTAAGAACATGTTGCTTAATTTCCATGTGTTTGTATAGTTTCCCAAGTTCCTCTTGTTACTAATTTCTAGTTTTATTCTGTTTGTTGTGCTCTGAGGAAACATTAGATATGATTTCAATTTTTAATTTTTTTTAACTTTTTTTGTGGCCTGATACAATAGGGAACCTCAAAAAGTTTGTGAAAAAAATGTAATTAAAAGATAATATATAAACTATATTTCTCAAAATAAACTCCGTCCTGGCCAGGCACGGTGGCTCATGCCTATAATTCCAGTACTTTGGGAGACCGAGGCAGGCAGGCCACTGAGCCCGGGAGTATGAGACGAGCCTGGCCAACATGGCAAAACCTCATTTCTACTAAAAATGTAAAAAGTAGCTGGATGTGGTTGTGTGCACCTATGGTCCGAGCTACTCAGAAGGCTGAAGCAGGAGAATCACTTGAACCCAGGAGGCAGAGGCAGTGGGCTGAGATCATACCACTACACTCCAGAGTGGGTGACAGAAAAAGAAAATCTCCATCCTGTTCAAAACACTTTTGTAAGTGACATTATCAGCCATTTAGTTCAGCCCTACAGAAGTGAGGATCCTGCAACTTTAACTATTTCATTGCAGTATTTTTTTCAATATTAACTGAAGAAAAATGGATATCTTTTAGGTTTTTTTAAGATTAGCAAACAAAAAAATTAGGAGCCAAATTAGAACTGTAAGGTGTACGCCTAATAATTTTCCATAGAAACAAAATTTATCTTATCTGATGGAGAAATCAGTGGAAGCATTGTGGTGGAGAATAACTCTCTGGTGATGCTATACTGGGCATTTTTTGACTGAAACTTTGGCTAACTTTCTTAAAACACTTTCATAATAAACAGATGTTATTATTCTTTGGCCTTCCAGAAAGTCAACGTGCAAAATTCCTTTAGTGTCAAAAAGAAAAACTTGCCACGACCTTTGCTCTTGACCAGTCCACTCTCGCTTTGACTGGAGCACTTTTACCTCTTCATAGCCACTGCTTCGATTGTGCTTTATCTTCAGGATAGTACTGGGAAAGCCATGTTCCATCTTTTGTTATAATTTTTTGAAGCTATGCTTTAGGATCTTGATTCCACTTAAAAAAATTCTATTGAAAGTTTTGCTCTTGTTTGTTGCTGATTACAGTGTAATGATTTTGGTTCCCATCTGGTGAAAGTTTGTTCAGCTTTAATTTTTCAGTCAGAATTGGTTGAAGTCTGAAACAATTGAGATGTCTATGGTGTTGGCTATCATTTCTTCTGTTAATTGCTGATTCTCTTCAAATAGGGCACAACAAGATGAGTTTTTTCCTTGCACATTAATGTGAATGGTCTGCTACTGCAGGCTTCATCTCCAACACCATCTTGTCCCTTCTTAAAATGAATTATCCATTTATAAACGGCTAATTTTGTTGTAGATACAGGGCCTCCCTGTGTTGCCCAGGTTGGTCTTGAATTCCTGGGCTCAAGCGATTCTTCCTCGTTGACCTCCCAAAGTATTGTGATTACATGCATGAGCCAACATGCCCGGCCTCTAGTGCAAATTAAGTCCATTTTTGTTGCTAATTTTCTGTCTTCATGATCTGTCCAGTGATAAAAGTGAGGTATTGACTTCTTCAACTATTATCATATTAGAGTCTATCTTTAGCA